TGCGATCCGTCTTCAGAACTGTCCCCGGTGTTGGTGGTGGTGTGTCGTTTATCAGCTGTTGTTACTTTCTGTAAGCGTGGTCAGTTTGATGGACCTGCAGGTTGCTCAGACCAGGACTGAGACCGGGACCTGACCGGGACGAGACTGAGACAAGACCGGGACCAGACTGAGACCAGACCGGGACCAGACTGAGACCAGACCGGGACCAGACTGAGACCAGACCGGGACCAGACTGAAACCAGACCGGGAGCAGGACTAGAACTGACCAGGACTGATCCCAGGACTGATCCCAGGACTAAAACAGGACTAAAAACAGGTCTAAACCAGGTCTAAACCAGAACTGAACCAGGACTAAACCAGATCCTGTTCTCAGTCCTGGTTTGGTTCTGGTCTGGTGTCGACCGACTGACTGACCACGCCTCCCATCCCCCCATGGTCTCTGGAGGAGGGTGTCCTAGGTGTGTGAAAGGACGAAAGCTCTGTCATCGTGGTTAATGCTGTCCATGCCTCGTTTCCTGATTTCAACACCGGTGACAGTTCTGAAGATCTCTTACAGCTAGTATTCTCTTCAAAAAGAACCCAAGGAGTTAAAGTACATAAGAAAACAAAATGAACATCTTTGTTTTGCTCTGTTTCATCTTGTCATAGAGTCATTGTCATGGAGTGGTAGTTTTCAAGTTAACAGCCACCTGTAGTTCAGTAAATATGGGCAAATCCAGGTTTGAAATGATCAAAATTATTCTAGCAAAGGTGTAAAAAACAGTGAAGTTCATGACATGACAAGTTGGGACAGAGTGTTTTCTGCTTGGGAGAAGAACTCTAAACGTACAATTTGTGTGTTACATACGAGTGAATGAAACAAAACACAACTCCAGGTATGTTTGTGATGAGAAAACAACAATATAAAACAGAGAAACATCAAACAAACATCAGAAAATAGCGTAATATGGTTTATTGTTTGTCCTCTGATTTTGACCTTCAATAAAAACCAAGGAAACCCAGACACACAGAGAAACATCCAAACTTGCTGGAGAATTTTATCAATTTCGCTCCAAACATCAACTATAAAAATCCAAGGTCTGTACTATCGGAGATGGACCTCAGTCTTTTAGAGGGCTCCTCTCCCTAAATCTCACACAAAGCAAAGCTTGTGGGTGGCAGTCTCTTTGCAAGTGCTGGTCTAGCAGCGTGAGTTCCCACAAGGGGAGGTGAGTCTGAGAGGTGCTCTTGCTGAGAAGCAGGTCTTCTTTTATAGTTGCCAACATCCTGTCGTAGGTGGTTAACATCTCCTCTCTTCTTCTCTCCATCGGACATGCCATAATAAGACTATTGAACATCTTGTTTGTAACTTTGGCCTTTGTAGGTGAGGTGTGAAATCTAAGACTCCCACTTTCCTGTTAGATGCAGCCACAGTTGTCACTCAGTGGGGGTTTGAAGTTGAAAAGCCTATAAGAATAAAGACTAAAACTTTACAGTTTTGAGTCAACACAAAACATAGTACATTTTGAAATAAAAGGTAAATATAAAATGTTTATGAGTACTAGGGCTGGGTACCATGGAGAATTTACAGATACAATACATGCCTCGATACATAGGCCACAATATGGTACATATCTCAATGCCTTTGGTTCGATACAATATATTTCAAATTGATTCAATACGGTTCAATAAAAATAAAGGCTAAATCATGACTGTGATACTAAAAGTCTTTGTTAAACCACGTCTTGTGCAAAGTTAATATGAAACACAAACATTTCAATCATCAAAACAATGAAAATGTCAAATGTGTTGCATAAACATGTTTCCTTTCACTAAACAAGCAACAAACCTGTAGCACTGTAACAAAATATTTGATATTTTTGCACACCCTTAACGAGTACAATGCTAAAAATGAAAATAAAGTTGGATTACATTCTTACATTTATTATTAAAAGTTATATTGTTGCCTCATCAAAAACATACCCGAAGTCTTGCTGTTTCATTCACACTTGTTTGAGTAGTAGTTTTTAAGTTAACAGCCCCTTTTACTTTTAGTTCAGTACAGAGTTGTGTATGTTTTTAATGAGAAAACAACATTTTGACAGCGTATTATAGGCCCACACATATTTTAGCAACGTTCTACAGATTGGCGGCCTTTTCAACACCTTTCAAATCCATTTTGAATCATACACTCTTTAGAATATTAGCAGCAGATAATGAGTACTTGTGGACTTACTATAAAGACCTTTGTCCATTAAAGCACATAATTCCTTTTGCAGAAATCTGAAGTTCTGGAGCACATCTGGAACCTCGATGACACCTGGTCTACGCTCCTTTGCAGATTCACCATCCTGGAGTGGGGCAACATTCTGGAACAAAAGGTAAAAAAGTAAAATAATGAAATAAAAGAAGCTAAACAAAACATTATAAATATTCTGTTCTTCATTCTGTTTTTCATTTCTGTGTGAAGAAACTCATGCAGACCGACGGATGGCCTGAGATGTACGAAACCAGCGAGTTTGATCTCTACGACGAGGACCACGTTCAACAAGCCAAGGCCGTCATTCTGAACTGGGTCAAGGATCTGAAGGCACAGCCCGAGGTAAATGTCTTGGATTATGAGATTCTAATGATGTCCTAAAAAACATATTTCTAATCCATTTTCACGGTTTATATCTTAGCAAAGCGTGTGGCCTGGAGAACCGGTGGCGAAGGCGTTGGAGGACCTGAAGTCGGCGTGGCGTTGGGGGCGTGTGCCGAGTCTGGTTTCGGCCATGGAGCTCCTCATGTGGACTTTGGTGCTGCAAAGTCCAAAGAAGGTATTAATCAGTATGAATCAGAAATTATAGGTCTGTAGTCTAGTAAGGAAATTTTCTAAAAACATGTGAGGTTGATCAGTTAAAAGTTAAAATTAAAAGGGGCATCACAAAAACTCTCAAAACTATTAAATATTTCTTTGTATCTGAGCCAAAACTGCACTCAAAAGGGACATCTGTATGGGAGTTCATGTAAAAACAACTAGGAAACAAAATATTTATATGAAAAAAATGCTGATTGAACAAATGAATCACTTTAAAATCTTCAACTAACTCACTACACCCCTTGCTGTATCTGCTATTGCCCCATGTGAGTTCTTAAAATCTAAATATAATCATATATTTACTATAATATACACTTCAGCCTTTGTAACTTTTTCATGTTGATTTTTTTTTTCTGTTTTTTTTTTTTTTACATAGGATAATTTACCTCAGCAGTGGCTTCTTTGGAAACAGAAGACCCAGAAAATAGGTAAGTAACGTTCAGATGTGTTGGTGTCTAAAAGCATAGCCTGTGCACCAAGTCATGTTCGTCACTAGGGGGCACCCAAGGCTGAATAGACAGCCCTGTGAGAATTGAAAATGTCTGCTTTATCATTGATCATTGATGTGATTTGTTCCAAGGTTAATTAAAATAAAATATTAAAAATAATAAAAATGATTTCTCCTCATATTTTAGTATTATTATTTTAACCCCTTTACTCTCTCTCCTCAGGTGCCATTCCTTATATTCCTCAACCAGGTAAAGAGGATACACAATTATGGTTTTGTTTCTTCTCTGAATGTCCTTATTTCAGAACTGTTTATCTTTTGTCTTTTCAGTGTGGGACTGGATTACTGATACACCAGGTATTACACCTCTATATTTATTCAATAAGATGTCTGTGTTGTCTACAAGTCATAACAAACTCTCTTCCACAGTGGACATAACTCTGGACTTGGATACAGCTAACCCTGACTTACTCATCACTGGAGACAAGCGCATGCGCTGTGGCTTTGATAGGAAGGATGTTCCTAACTACCACCAGAGGTTTGACGGCTGGTGGTGTGCTGTGGGGGAGCAGGGCTTTGGCTCGGGAAGGCACTACTGGGAGGTGGAGGTGGGCGAGCGTGACTGGCGCCTCGGTGTGGCCAAAGAGTCTGCCCTGAGGAAAGGCTTCAAGTCCCTGAACACTGACACTGGATATCTGACCCTGCGCCTGGAGAGAGGCACTGAGCTGAAGGCCCTGACTGTGCCCTTCACTGCTCTGCCCCCTGGGCTCATCTCCAGGAAAGTGGGCATCTACCTGGACTACGACCAAGGCCAGCTGTCCTTCTACGATGTGGAGAAGCGCTTCCACATTTACACGTACAACGAGTGCTTCACTGAGAAGCTCTTCCCCCTGTTTGGCACAGTGGAGATCCTCAAGGATCTGGTGATCAGGGCTCCAGTGGCGAAGACCCAGTACCTCTGCCCCGGCACCTGCCTGTGGGCCTGAGATCACTGTTAAACATCACATCATTATAGGAATAGATAAGCAACAAGTATTTAAAGTCCAATCAAATGTCCTAATAATATACAAGACCATCATTATGCAATGAAACCTGCTGTGTGACTCCTATAAGCTGCTGCTGCTACTGTATGTGATAAAGCACTTACTCTGCACTGTACATTTGCTTTGTATTTAAAAAATACCCATTAGTGTTAAACTGTAGTACACACATCTACTGTGCTATACACACCATGGAAATACAATTTCTATAGAATAAATAAAAATGTGAAATACTGTATTTTGTCTGTTTAATTTTTTAATATAATTCCAGAGCTGTCAGTCTGCCCCAGGGCAGCTGTGGCTACAACAGTAGTATAATAGTGCCTCCACTGACTGTGGAATGAATAAATAATGAACTGTAAAGTGCTTTGGGCGTCTTGAAAGGCACTATATCAATGCAATGAATAATTAATTTATTTTAAAAATCAAATACATTCTTGATTGTGGTTCTGTTGATGTTTATCGTCACAGAACTTAAATTTGAACTTATATTACACATAACATAACTATATTTCACATAATAGTCTGCTTTTTATTGTTATTTTCAAGTTTAAATGTTCTGTTTACGATCCTCAAAGCATGTATAAACAACACAGTTAGCTGCAAAAGTACAATTATTACATTTATAAAGTTTGTAAGACTCTGTCACTGGGGCAATGATGATGATGTCATCAGTGTGCGACGGCTCCGGAGTGGTTTTGGTTCTTTCAAAACAACATGACAGCCGCTTTAAAACAATCTTTAAAAGCTCATTTTGGATTTGACGGGTTTAGATCGAAGCTGCAAGAAGATGTGGTTAAGGCAGTTGTCAGACGTAAGTTATGGAGCACAATTTACCTCTTTTATTGAACTAATTTGTAGCTACTTAGCAGTTGTTAGCTGTTTGTCTGATTGTGTGACACGTTTGTTCTGTCTTGTTCTGTTTCTTTCTCTTAAAGTTTAACTTAGCGCAGTCGTGACTGATATTCAGATGTTGTCAGTAGCATGATTGTGAGTTTGTGTGTCTTGTGTGTGTGTACAGGTGACAGGGATGTGTTTGTGTGTATGCCCACTGGAGCTGGGAAGTCTCTGTGTTACCAACTCCCTGCTGTGCTGGCAGAGGGCATTACTCTGGTCATATCTCCTCTCATCGCCCTCATCCAGGTGAGGACCTTGGTTTGTCATGTCTGTTTCCACAGTTCTACACATTAGTATGTGCTCTACATGACTTATTACTTACTGTATTTCAGGACCAAGTGGACCGCCTGAAAAGCTTGAATATCCCTGCTTGTTCTATTAACTCTAAGCTGCCGGCTGCAGAGCGCCGTCTGATCATGGCGGACCTGGAGAGCAGCAGACCAAAGCTGAAGCTGTTGTATATTACCCCAGAGATGGTGGCTTCCCCGTCCTTCCAGCCGTGCCTCTCAGGGCTGTGCTCCCGTGGTCTGTTGTCCTACCTGGCTGTGGATGAGGCTCACTGTGTGTCTCAGTGGGGCCATGACTTCAGACCAGACTACCTCAAACTGGGAGTGCTCAGGGCTCGGTTACCTGGAGTGCCCTGTCTGGCCCTGACTGCCACAGCGCCTAAGAATGTCCAGGAGGACATAGTTCAGTCTCTCCAGCTGCAGCAGCCTCTCTCCTTTATTACACCCGTGTTTCGCAGTAACTTGCACTACGACGTCATCTTCAGGGAACTTCTGCCAAACCCTTTTGTTCACCTCCATGCCTTCATCAAACAGGCCCTCACACTCGCCAACGGTGCCAATGATCAGGTCCGCTTTGGTGTTTTTATTTGGTTTATATTTATGTTCATTTACTCTAATTATTTTTTTCTGTAAATACATTTAAGCTGAATTGACTCCTGAAGTTACGTAATTTAACACATCATATTTTTATATGACCAGGGCTGTGGGATTGTTTACTGCCGAACCAGAGAGAACTGTGAGACTGTTGCCCACCAGTTAACTAAACTAGGAGTGTCTGCTAAACCGTATCATGCAGGTAATTCAACCTCAGTTAATAATATCTATGTTTTATTCTTATTTTTTTATTAAATGTTTTAAAATCTGTTACAGGGTTAAAAGCAGGAGATCGTACAGAGGCCCAGAATGACTGGATGCAGGGTAAAGTTGTGGTTATTGTAGCCACCATCAGCTTTGGCATGGGCGTGGACAAGGCCAACGTCAGGTACAACCGACATTACATCAACATTTTGTTTCAAATCAGAAATTATTCATTATTAATTTTTTCCCCACAGATTTGTAGCTCATTGGAACCTCGCTAAGTCCTTGGCCAGTTACTACCAGGAGTCGGGTCGAGCGGGCAGAGATGGTCTCCCGTCTTCCTGTCGTACATATTACTCTGCCAAAGATAAAGAACAGATCAGCTTTCTCATCCAACAGGAAGTCGGTCGCAGACAGGTTAGTAAACACACTCTCAGTTTATAGTGGCTGAAGATGCTGTAAAATATTCAACTGTCATAAAATTTTGTATGAATAAGTTGGAGCTGTAAATGTGAAGTGTTGACCAATCTGCATAAAAGATGTACCTACAAGCACTAGACTTTTAATTATCAATATTTACAAATTCCTATTCTGATTTATTAAAATGACATCGCGTAACTTTTTGGCGGTGGCATGTTACCTGCTTGAAAATAGAAAGTGCAAACCATTCTTCGAAACAATCTCCATAGTGATAGATGCATTTTAGCCTGTAAAATGAAATATTTTATCCAAAAAGATAATGTTTCCATGTCAACAGACAGGTATGAGTCAAGTGTGTGGAGATGCAAGCCTGTCCACAGTAAGAATACCTTTTAAATAGTTTCTTTAAGGTTTTTAATGGCATACATTTTGATTATAGAATATTTTTTGACTGAAAAAAATATGTAGTGAGCCTTTAAACCCAAACAAGACCAAATTATCTTTCAGTGTATTCAATTGTGCAAAAATTAACTCCCAAAGGAATCACATATCTTTTTTTGTGTGCATTTTTAACAACATATCATTTGCTTATAGAAACCCTAGATGGCTCATACAAACAGTTTCTTTATCTATGTGAAAAAAATGTCAACATTTAAAGCTAGTTTTCAACAATTTTTCTAACATTTCTGAAATTTCTCCACAGCAAAAACGCGGGTCCATAAAAGAGTCCGATAAAGCTGCTATGAAAGACTTCGAAGCCATGGTCAAGTTCTGTGAGCAAGAGGGGTAAGAAGAACTATGACACACAATAATACACACATTTTTTTAATTTAAATTCTACTAAACAAGTGCTTTACTTAATAAAACAGCACCGTTATGACACATTTCCCTTTTATAATGTGCATTCAATAGTCTGTCCAGCAGAGGGCACCATTTATATACATTCTCCCTTGTTTAGAGGCACAAAGAAACGCTTGTACTGCACATTTGATTGAAGGCTGGGTTAAAGTCTCGTTGCCAAGTACAATTCCACACGTGTGACTCAGTTTGAATGTAAAACCCTTGAAGTAAAGCTGGTTCTTCCACTAATATGTACATTTTTAACACAGTTCACCCTTCATAACATGCAAATTCCCTTTGTGTTCCCTGTTTATACCTATTTTTTCAAGTTTAAAACTGCACTGTGTAACTTTTCTAATAGAGCACCTGCTTGTCTTTGTGGAGATGTTATTGCTTTGCCTGGAAAGTTCCACTATATAGCATTAAATTTATCTCGCTCCACAAGGACTCCACCACAGGAAAAGTTAAAGGCCCTGTATTTTTATGTTTCTTGCATGTATGCTCTACTACAGATGTATTGTATAAGCAGCTCTTGAGGTCAAAATGAGACTGCTGTGTACTGTCTCCATCTAATTATAAAGCGTTTTATTGTCCCAGTATCAGGAAGTCTGTGGTTAGCATGGTAGTTGCTCCTCTGCTCCTGTGTGGAATGACTCTGGACCACTGCAAACTTTTAAAAATGAGCTAGTGATATTTTTCACAGTTTTAAGACAATGAAAATCAGGGAAAGTGCCTTTCAAGAAATAAAATCACCTATAATTGAATGAATACAAGATAAACCTTTAGTTTTACCTATGGACCTTTGGTGATTTGTAATAATTGTGGAGGATTCCTGATAATCCCATGCGAATGCTTCATGTCTGTAATTTGTAAAGTAAACATTCTGCCTTAAATTACGTTCTGTATTTCACCAAACAGAGACATCCTTTGATAGAACTAGTCTCGTGCGAATCTGCATCTGTGTTTGTTGTTAAAATTGTGCGGCTTTTCTGTCTCTTTGTTTTCTTTCCATGTTCTTTTCTCTTTCAATCTCTGCATCATTATCAGTAATTTTCGGACTTTGCTTATCCCGTGCGAATGTGCAGCAAGTAACGCTGAGGCAGGGAGGTAATTTGCAAATTACTAGACGTCCCCAGATTGTACTTATCCCATGCGAATAGGGCTATAGATGAGTTTAAAGCCATACTGCGGAATATTCCAGGTTATGCAGTGACATCTCTGCGGAGACAAGTGGATGTCTTGCTCACACCAGTGAACTTACGCAGTGCACCTTTAACTAAACAAGGCAAAACATCGTAAACCACATCTTTACAAAGTTTATCTTACAAGCCAAGTCACCCACTCATAGTCTAAACAGAGATTGGGCAATGTCATCTTCTCCAGGGGTAGCCCAGATATGCTTTGCGGAATGCCGGCCGACAGGTGTTCTTGGCAGACCAACTGCTTTTGTCACCTGCCAAATCCAGAGCCCTGCAGCGTGAGCCGACACACCCAGAGAAGCAGAAACTTCGCTGGCGTTGCGCTCACGTGTCAAATATCTATGGGCGCTGTGGAAAGCCGGAGAACGTGCCCAGTATTCCGACCTGTCCCGTTTTCCGTCACTGGGTTATCAAATGTCCAGGAGCAGAGTCCAGCTCCGTCTCAAATGTTGGATGATCCTTTCGTTCTGGCATTGCGGCAACAACAGCAGGTTACGCAAGAGAAGATCATCATGCCTAGAACCAGCACTGCAAAAAAACAAAACAAAACAGAAAAGTTAGTAGGGAATAGTTTTGTCACAATGCTAAAATTTCAAACTTTATTTCAATACTAAGAAACAGACTCGATACTCCATACTGTTTCCGATACCGCTGTGATAATAAAAACAGACAGGAATGTGATTTTTCAGCCTTAAATCATAGTATTTTCTTTTATATTACCATCTATCCTATATCTATGGTTATATCTGTGTAATCCTTCAGTTGTCCAGGTAGGTTTAATAGTAGAAAATAGTTCATTTCTGTCCTGTGAATGTAACTTTTTTTAGTACCAATATCTGCGTAAATGAGTGTCTAGGTTCGATAATAGTTTTAGTACCAATTAGTATCAGATTTTTTTATACTTTTGACAACTCTAGTAGAAAATCAAATCAGAATCTTAATCAGAAAATCACAAAGGCTGCAATTTTTGAAGCACACAAACAACAAAATATATAGTCTAGGGGTGTGCAAATATATTGAAATATGGATATATCGTATTGTTTAATGTGACGATACAGTGGGCTGCTGTATCGATATATTGCCAAGAGTAATTTTTTATATATTTTACAAAATTATTCTGTTACATTGCTACAGTTTTGTTGCTTGTTTGGAGGAAGGAAACTCATTTATGTGACACATTTGACATTTTCACAGTTTTTATGATTAAAATGGGTGTGTTTTCATATTAACTTTGCACAAGAAATGGTGTTTGACGTTTAGTATCGCAGCCATGATTTAGCCATTCTTTTTTATTGAACCGTATCGAATCGATTTGTAATATATCTTATCGAATCAAAACTGAACTATAAGATATGTGTCGTATCGTGACCTATGTACCGAGGTATGTATCGTATCGTGGCCTGTGTACCGAGGTATGTGTCGTATCGTGGCCTATGTACCGAAGTATGTTTCGTATCGTGGCCTATGTACCGAGGTATGTATCGTATCGTGGCCTGTGTACTGAGGTATGTATCGTATCGTGGCCTGTGTATCGAAATATGTATCGTATTGTGGCCTATGTACCGAGGTATGTATCGTATCGTGACCTATTCTTAATGATACCCAACCCTAGTACTGTCTTATTCTGAGTAAAAACATGCTCTGAAATCTGATTCTTGTATTAGTTTTTCAGTTCATATTTCAGTCTTTTGTCAAATTTTCTGCTTTGTTTAAATTATGAATCCTATATAAAAACATAAGAAGATAAGAATAGAAAACATATATACATAAAATAACTATAAAACTTACAGATAAAAGTTAACAGGATGAAGAATGCGCCCAGTTCTATGGGGCTGGCTTGGGGCAGGTGCTGCAACTTGAGCCAGATCTTGTTGAGGAGGTTGAGCGACTCTTCAGCCGGGTCCATTCTGTTCAAACACAAAGCCGTGCCTTTGTTATTTGTGATGTGGTTAGCATGCTGTTGGTGTATTATTAGTCAGCAGGATATAGTGTCTGTTGCATACTTAAAAGTGTTGATAATTTTGCAGGAAATTAACTCTGAACTACTCATTTCACCAAAACATAGTAACATTATATTTAAAATTTTGCTAGAGATCTTGCCTAGTTTTAAAATTTTTTCTGCAGTTTATAATTTTAATTCCACATTGTGTATTATTCAGCAAATTTGGTAATTCCATAATAATATTGACAAATGCGAAAACTTAAGACTGTTTAGACCAGGGGTGTCAAACTCAAATTCACAGAGGGCCAAAATTAAAAACTGTGACTAAGGCCATGTTCAGACTGCAGCCTTAAGTCACCCAAATCTGATTTTTCACCTTTATGCGGCCTGTATAAGATCTTTTAATGACAGTTTAAATGACACAGATCCGATTTTTTTCAAATGCAACCCAGGCCACTTGGATATGTGCTCCTAAAACTGAAACATTTCCGATCTTTTGACATGCGACTTCAGTCTGAATGGCCAGGTCACATTCATGTACATGTACGTGTCTCGTCATACAAAAATTGTGTATGAACTTTGTGTCAGTGAAGCAGTGAAGCTAATAGCAATCCCACCAGTCTTTTAATGTTCACACTGGAGATCACTTACAACTTGTATTTAATTGGAAATGTGAATAACCTCGCAAAAAAAACTTTCTAGTGAAGGTGTGTGGAGTTTAAAAACACAGTGGAGCATTTCTACATGACATCACAAGGTGGAACAGAGTGTTTTCTGTTTGAGAGAAGAACTAAATATGCTGCGTTTGTGTGTTAAATGAGTAAATGAGAATAAAACAAAACACAACTCCAGGTAATTTTTTTATGTGGTAATAATAATAATATTGTTTAAAGATGACAAGAATCCATTTTGTGTAATTTTGTTTAATTATTATTACTTAGATTTGTTTTCGTGGAAGTTTGTGATGAGGGAACAACATTATAACGTAGATTTGAAAATGGCGTATAATATGGACTTTAAATTGGCTGGCAAATGTCCTGGTTAAGGTTCTAGTTTTGTTCATAAAGTGAATTCACCACAACATTAACTACATGCTTTCACAAAATATCACTTCATGGTTATTTTTATCTTTACTTCACACCTATGTTGGTGTGTTGTGTTTCCGCTAAGTGCAATGTGTTTTGAAGACGTAATATTTGGCATTTCAGTGGGCGCACCTTTTTTAAGAGTTTTAAAATCATATTTACACACACCACTTGAATAAATTTTATGCATTATATTATTTAATTTTAAGTACACTACCAGTCAAAAGTTTTGATACACCATCTCATTCAAACCATGTATCATTTGTTCATTAGTTTTTCAATATAAAACCAAAAATAAGAAAACTAAAACAGTACTATTTTCTTCATTATTTATCTCCAAAACTAAACTAAAAAAAACAAATAATGATTTTTTTTTTTCAGTTTTCGATTTTGTGTTTAAATGAATAATGGAAAAAACAGATAATGGATGTTTGACTTAAACTGCGATGCTGGACTTTTGCACCGCATACGGACTAAACCAGGACTAAAACAGGTCTGGGACTGAGACCGGGGCCGAGACCGGGGCCGGGACCGGGACCGGGACCGGGTCCAGATTGGGACCACATCAGGATCAGACCGGGACCAGACCGGGATTGAGACCGGGACTGAGACTGGGACCAGACCAGGACTGAAAACGGTTTAGTCCTGTTTCAGTCCTTATTCAGTCCTGGTTCAGTCCGTATGCGATGCAAAAGTCCGGCATTGCAGGTTAAGTCACGGAAACGGGAAACAATCGTTATCTGTGTTTTTTTTTTCCATTATTCATTTAAACACAAAATCGAAAACTGAAAAAAACAAATTGTTATCTGTTATCTATCGTTATCCTTCGTTTTTTTTTCTTTTTCTTGTTTTTGGTTTTATATTGAAAAACAAATGAGCGAATGATACACAGATGATTTCACCTCCAGGGATGTTTTTGATGGGGAAATTACATTATAAATTAGATCAGAAAATAACGTAATAAAGGACCTTTAATCTAAAACAGTTTATCTTTTGTTTGGGGGCAGGTGGGGGCTGTTTTTTTAAAGACTGTATTTGACATTACAATATTTAAACTATTTATTTGTATTATTATTTATGCTGCTGTTGACCTGGACCTGAGTGCAGTTTTTCATTTCTGTGTATTTTTTTATACTGAAATGACAAATTCTGATTCTGTTTCTGTGCCCATTCATAGTTTGATGCCTTCAGTGAGACTCCACAACGTAAATAATCATGGAAATAAAGAAGTGCGTCCAAACTTTTGACTGGCAGTGCAACAAATGTATAACAGAACTTACCCAGAATGCCCCTGACATGTAATAAGTTGTTGTTTACCTCGCTAACATGCTTTCACAACGTGCGGTCTGCCTTATTTGGGACGGAGTGGGAGGGTCTCGCGGAGAGTGAAAGGCTACGCTAATTTAAAGCATGTGGCGTTTAGGATGCGTGGAATTTTTACAGTGCGCACAGCATTTCAAAACAGAAGTTATTTTGTTCTATTAAATTTTATTTTTTGCTTATGATTACATGGGTGTGACAGTTTGAGCATGTTTACCCGTGTGTAGTGAGGTGTGCCCAAGCAAAACTATCAGTCAGTGTAGTTTTATGTTATATTTGTTTATGAGTCACGATACTGTTTTGATACCAAGGCATAGATTCGATACTCGATACCGATTCTGATATCACAATGATTACAAAAACACTTTATTTAGACAATATAATGTGAATTTCAACATTAAATCATAATCATTTCTTTCTACCAGGACTGAGCCAGGACTGAGCCAGGACTGAGCCAGGACTGAGCCAGGACTGAGCCAGGACTGAGCCAGGACTGAGCCAGGACTGAGCCAGGACTGAGCCAGGACTGAGCCAGGACTGAGCCAGGTTTAAACCAGGTTTAAAAAATGACTAAAGCAGGACTAAACTAGGAATGAACCAAGACTGAACCACGTCTAAAACAGGACTAAACCGGGACTGGACCATGTCTAACCCATGTCTAACCCATGTCTAACCCATGTCTAACCCATGTCTAACCCATGTCTAACCCATGTCTAACCCAGGACTAACCCAGGACTAATCCAGGACTAACCCAGGACTACACCAGGTGTGAACTACGACTAAACTGGGACTAAACCAGGTCTGAACCACTACTGAACCTGGACTGAGCCAGGTCTAAACCAGGACTGAACCAGGACTAAACAGGATTGAACCGGGACTGAACCAGGACTGAACCAGGACTGAACCAGGACTGAACCAGGACTGAACCAGGACTGAACCAGGACTGAACCAGGTCTAAACCAGGTCTAAACCAGGACTAAACCTCTTGTCTCAGGTCACTATAGGACAGTCCTGCAGATATTATGAGCCTATGCAGTTTGTTTTCACCATTGCCAGTAGCTCCGGTTTGACATTTAAGTTGTAGCTGTTTTATATTTGTTATTGTTTTATATCTCACATTGGGAGAAGTGGGTGGACGGTGTACCCCCACGTACCACGCCCACTACACCCCTGCCTGTGAGTGGTCCAGGTAGCTTTCATAGTGGTCCATGGGCGTATACTAGTCTATGTGCTTTTGTATTTGTTCTGATACAGCTCAAAATCATTCTAAAGCCATTCTGGAAAGGTTAATTTCTCAATGATACTTACTCTAATTGGTAACTTTTGATACTTTTGGCAACCGTTTTTTGTATAATATCTTGTAATCTCTTAAGGTACTTTATTCTACAGTGAATTGTCTCGTCTGGCTGTTGATTTGTTGTGGATTTTATGTCAAATGTCCTTTATCGTTGTACTTTATCTGTTAAATATCCTGTTTTTGACTCACTAATTAAGCTGCTATGTACAGTTTTAGCTATTATAGTCATCAAATCACATAACTTTTCGAAAAGGCATGTAATATGTTTTGTTAATGTTACAAGAGAAGAAAATTTTCCATTTTTAACCAAATACTTCCTCAAAAAATAATTGTAAAAAGCTTAAACACTAACTCGCCATTCACAATTCTATATGCAATTTGTTGAATTTGCCTCACTTTGTCCACTTAATCTTTTTAGCAAATATTTGACAGCATTTCAGTAATATTATGACATTAAAAAGATCTCATTTTGAAGTTTAATTTAAAACATAGACCTGCTTAAATGTGTGTTTTCCAATCCATGAAAACACATACACAAGACCTGACCACTTCTTAAACTAAAAACACTCACATCAGCCAGCAGCAACATCCAGCATTGTTCTTGTTTCTTTTACACACATACTTCAAATTCCTCACCAACATGTTTTTTCCTTTAGCTTAAAATTCTCTTACCTTTGCGAAGTCTTGTTTTTCCCACAGTCAGAATACTCTAGACAGTATGCGGTGTATCCGAGGAGCGCAGAGCAGAGTAGGTCCTGTGTGTAGTCTCCCTCTTCACTGTATTTGTTGTTGCTGGTACGTCATTTCAAAGGAGGAGTCCCGAGATTATCCTTAAGTGGCAGATCAGCTTTAGTTAGGCTAATACTCCAAGCAAGTACAAAGACTTTTAGATGGTATTTTGTAGTAGTAGTAGTAGTAGTTTAGCAGTACAGAATACAGTGTCCTTGGTTCTCTCTACTAGTGGAGTGTGGGAGTGACTGATTCTTTGTACTCCTCTTACACTCTCCCTTACACACTCTCTTACACTCTCTCTCTGTCGCTCTCTGTCGCTCTCTCACTCCCCTCCTCTTTTGGCTGTTTGCCCCCCCTCCTGTTTACACCTCTGCCTGGCGAGTTGGCACGTTGCTGAAGTGACCGGTCTAAAAATGTCCCAATTTAACAGCACGAAAATTAGCCTGCAAAATGAAAAATTGTGCGATAAATTGATTTTGTGTTTTGCTGTTTTTACTACTTTTCCTTTCAGACCCAACAGATTTTACTTGAATACATTCTTTATGAAAATACTTTGTGAAAACATGTCAGGCAGTTTTTCTTTTTGCCCCCAAACCTCGGTTCAACCTGTTTCGTAACATACATGTATGTGCTGACATGGTAAAGGGTTACACAATCAGTGTGTAAGATCAATACTGCACCACTATTATTGAACAGACTATAGCAGAGAAACTTCTAAAATATGTTAAACCAGATTGAATGGCGTTATTTGATCTGTCTGAACCCATTTTCACTAATTTCAGTGCCTCCCAGCCCCCACTTTGTCAACCACTGGACTATAGTGGTCTGCACTGGAGAACAAAAAACAACTGCGTTTCAGAATATCCCACGGTCATGGAAATCCTGGAAAAATTATGGAAATTGAAAATGTCATTTCCAGGCTTGAAAAAGTCAGGGAATTTTAGTATCTCTTTCACGTAACTACAGTGTTCTGTTAATTTATCATTAGACTATTATGTTTATTTCTGAACGTCAGTGTATTTATTGTCGTCTCTTTAAAAAAAAGGCGCAAACAATATTTTGTATGTTAAAAAACTATAATTCCAAACCATAAGATGAGTGGAAAAGGTTAACATTTCATATTTACTCCTAAAAGTATGATCAATTCTACACATGTAGGTGCTGTAAAGTCATGGAAAATTCACTTTAGGTCATGAAAAAGTCATGGAAAATTTTTAAGTTTTTTGTCTGAAAAAGAGTGGAAACCCTGATATTGGAGCAGTGATCTTTCATTGTTAATCGATGATTGTGATCACAATATCAGTGAAAGAAACTATTTCGATTTCGATCTGCACTGCAAAAGTAAACCTTAGTTCGGTCATGGTCACATTTTTAAGTAGCGCTTTTGCACCTGCAAGTGTCTTGCCCAAGGACATTCAAACTGGGATTCAAACTGCTAACCTTCAGATCATAGGACCAAACATTTGACCAACCGCTATCGGCGATCAGCCTGATTCATCAGAGGGTTTCACTACATGGACCGTCTGACCTCGCAACATTAGGATTCATTCGCTCGACGATAGGCGAGTACTTTTTTATTTAACCAATCGCTGCTATTTGGTCATGACGTATATAACACGCCAAATCCCGTAGGAAGAAGGGCAATAATGTCTTTCCCCTTGATAAAATTCACCAAACGTTCTCTTTGCTCCGGCTTTAAATCTCTGATCTCGGGAATCATTGCCAACACAGAATATATGTCTTCGTCTACATCCATCTCGACCGCTTTGTTTACTGTTGTGCTGTACCACAAAAGGGGCCAGACAGGTGCTTGAGTTTGACGTCATGGCTTCACTGCTCTTCGCTGATTGGTCGGTGTACGGTCCACAACTTCTGGGATTCTTGCAAACCATCTAGTGTATTCTCATTCCTGACCTAGCCGCTGGAGAGAAATGAAATTGAGTGGAGGCAGAATTGTAAAATTGTGATGTTTCTTCTCACAAAAATTTAACAGTAAAACATGATATCCCTGCCTAAAATAAAACTCCTCTTTCGGACAAAAGTACAGCTTACAGGTACCTTGCCAATTCCACCATTCAGTTTTCCATGTTGTCTCTGCAGGTGCCGCCATGCCACTATCTCCAAGTTCTTCGGGGACCAGCCTCCAAAGTGCGGTGGGAAGTGTGACTTCTGCTCTAACCCCAAAGTGGTGCGCGCTCAGATTGCCCGCGCCGCCGTCCTCAGCAGCAAGAGCCACGCCCACACGGAGAAGGCAGCCGGGCCCTTCGGATTCATCCCAGACCAGTACGAGGGCGGCAGGAAGGGCTACGGCTTTGAGAGGTCAGAGAGAGATAACTTCACTATAGTTTATTTGGGTTTTTTTGTAATGACCATAGACTCACCTAAAGACACATAAATAAAGAAGTGGACTAAGAGAGTGTGACGTCACCCTCAGCGTTCAGCTCCAGTCAAATGAAGCTCGTGATGTTGGCAGTTACAGGGGTGAATTAGGAATAAGATTTTTTTTAATGGACAAAATAGCAACATAAAAACATGTTTTAGCTATGTCTGTTTATATATACAGTCTATGAATAAAATGTTAAGATTAATAACTTTATTATAATCCCTGATCCTTTTGGTCCGTGTACCATTCGTTCTTTCAAATTTCAATTAAGAAAGAAAAACAATAAAATGGGAAAACAGTTTGTTATTTCATTATTCCGTTTTAGTGTCAAACAAACAAACAAAAAAAAAACAGTCTTGGTGCCTATTTTAATTTTGATTTTATTCTCTCTGGTTTATTTGCCCAGGAGTTATGCTGCTGATATCAGTGTCAACCATGGATCTATAATAAAAACTATTTTTATTATAGCCCTATGGTGTCAAATGAACTGAATCTGATCTGAATCTGAACTGATCTGAAGTTTTTTGCCTCGCCGCTACTTGTTTCTCATCATGGAGTTCAACAATTACTGTCTAAGATGCGAAAGTAAACATGTCACTATTAGGGCTGGGTATCATTAAGAAACTGCCGATACGATATGTACCTTGATACATAGGCCAGAATACAATACATATCTCAATACAGTGCACTTTCAAATCGACACAATATATTTCAAATCAATTTGATACAGTTCAATAAAAAATAATTGCTAAGTCATGGCTGTGATACTAAAAGTCTTTGTTAAACCACTTCTTGTACAAAGTGAATATGTAACATGCACATTATAATCCTCAAAACAGTGATGTCAAATGTGTTGCATAAACAAGTTTCCTTCCACTAAACAAGCAACAAAACTGTAGCTCTGTAACAAAATAATTTAATAAAATAAACCAAAAAATACTCTTGGTGATATATCGATACAGTAGCCCATGATATCGATACTGTATCATCACATTAAACAATACGATATATGGATATTTCAATATATTTGCACACCCCTAGTTGCTATAAAAGAAGACGCCATGTTTGTCCACAAAATTGCTAAGATTTTTCATGTTAGTCCTTCTAGCAGCAGAAAGTCCAGGGCAAATGAAACAGAGAATAAAATATCAAAATTAAAATAGGCAGAGAGATAATTGGTGTTATTTGAAATAAACTTTAAATTAAATATTGGAAATAGAGGTCGAAATCTGTTATTTTGTTTGACACTAAAACAGAATAATGAAATAACAAACAATGTTTTCACACATTATTGTTTTTCGTTCTTAATTGAAATTCAAAAGAACGAATGGTACATGGACCCAGTCACTGTGAATCCTACTTATTATTTAACATCTACTGAATGTTCTTCATGGTTGGAAAAATGCTTTTAACCACAAATTATGACATGGACACTTTTCATTCACGTCATTCTTATTGTGTGCGGGTCTCTTCTTCATAGAGGAACTTAACTTGGTCATCCCATCCTCTTGTCTGTATGGATGTAAATAAGCTCAAAGCTGAACTGTAGAAACAAACCATATCATCCCCATGGCAACAAGCAGGCTGACCTTTTTAAACTTTTTTTTTTTTTTAAACACAGGTAGTTTGTATTTTACAGGTATGACGAAGACGAAGGCGGTAGCAGCGCTGAGAACGAGGCCATGCACAGGAAGAAGGAGTTTTCAGATCTCTACAAGAAGCAGATGAACATCAGAAAGGTACAGCACGTTCTGAAGTTATGGTCTGTAGTCCAGAGATCCAGCTGTGTGCAGAGGAAAAGGTAGGATCTGCTGGGGCCAGTGCAGAGAGGGAAAATGACTACCACATGTGCAACTGGCATGAAGCAAGTTTAACTGCACCGCAAAAAAACAAGGACAAATCAACATGAGTTAAAATGACTTGGATTTATAAGTTGCGTCATCAAAAACATGCCCGGAGCTTTGTTTTGTGTCGTTCACAAATGTTTAATACACAAACCTAATCCTTTTGTGTAACTTAGACAGACTTTGGTCCTTGTTTACATTTATAGTTGTATTTATAGCAGTTGCAGTTTACATTTATACCTCTGTGTATGTAAGTCATATCTGCTGCATATGTCCAACCCGAAAGCAAAATTATTAACTTCACCAATTACACAAACTAGAAATAAAAGGGTTGTGGTGAAGAGGGAGCTGAGCCGAAATGCAAAGCTCAATCAATCAATCAAACTTTATTTAAACAGCGCTTTTCATACAAAAATACAACACAAAGCGCTTCGAAGCTCTCGATTTACTGATCAACCTACGTTCCTCCCCTCACGTATGGTCATGAGCTTTGAGTAATGACCGAAAGGATGAGAACGCAGATACAAGCGGTCGAAATGAGTTTCCTTCGCAGAGTGGCTGTGCACTCCCTTAGAGATAGGGTGAGGAGCTTGGAGTAGAGCCGCTGCTTCTCCATGTCGAGAGGAGCAGCTGAGGTGGCTTGGGCATCTGTTCCGGATGCCTCCTGGACGCCTCAATTGAGAGGTGTTCCGGGTATGTCCAACCGGAAGTAGACCCCGAAGAAGACCCAGGACACGCTGGAGGGGCTATGTCTCTCGGCTGGCTTGGGAACCCCTTGGAGTCCCCCCTGGAGGAGCTGGAGGAAGTATTATATTATATTACACCATTTTCTTTGTACTGCATATTGTAATGTTGTTTACTGATACAAACATAGTTAGTTTGTTAGTTAGTTCATTTACTGAGACAGGGACAGTGCAGAATCTACATTATCCATAACAGGAGAGATGCATTGTACCAGGTTGCAGTGCCAGAGCAAATTTCCACCTGTAGTCCCTGGGCAGGTTCATTGATAGATTGTATTTAATTGACCTTGGCTCTCAGCTGTTCTTCCTGGAGACCAATGTAGCATGTTTTGTAGTTGCGTTTTGTTCCATTCATGTATTTTAAACACACAAACCCTGTGTATTTAGGCTGTAGAGTTCTTCTCTCGGAACTAAAGGTAAAAGGAGCTGTTCACTTAAAAACTATCGCTTCGTGACATCACAAGCTGGAACAGAGCATTTTGGGCTTTCAAAATGTAGACAAGCTAACAATGCAGGATTACTCAAACATGTGTGAATGAAACAAAACACAACTCCAGGTTTGCTTTTGATGACGCAACATTTAAACATGACTTAAAGCTCCATTTTGTGTACGTTTCAGTGAAATTAGTAGTTTAATCTGATGCAAAAATAAAACTACAATATGCGCATAAACATTCTTATTCTTAAGAGTTAAAGGTTACTAGTTAGCAATACAGATGAATAGGGACCAACTTATATACACTTACATAGTATTTTTAGACTTTTTTTTTTGTACATTTTTTTGTTTTTGTCATCTACCTCAAAGCCGTTTTCCTACCCCGCTGTCTCTATAATAACAGACCTGGACTTAGACTGTTCTGCCTTTAGCTTCAATGAGTCATGTCACTCAGCTGAATGTGTGAAATTCGCTGTGTTAATGTTAGCATATGTCAACAGCCACGCAAGTTTATTAGCTGGAACAGATGAGAAGGCTGTTTCTCAGGTCAAGTATAAGTATAATGCAGGTATTTGTCGTCTTGTGCTAAAAATACTTCTGTTTGTAGGGAGCTGTGAGTCAAGCGGAGGAGTTTGTTCCACCAGGTAATGTTTACTTGTTTGTAAAATGTTTATAAATATGATGAAGAAGTCAAAAACTAGTAAATGGCCAAATTGAACCCCTCCAACACTTAAGGACTGGTTTGGTATAATTTTGGACTTATAAAAAATGGAAAAATTTACATATACTCTATGAATCCAAAGGGGAAAATTCTATAAGATTTGGGGAAAAATTAATCCAGTTTGTATCTCCCTTTTCGTGCTGATTTTGATTGACTCTGAAATATTACTGATTGAAAAGATGCCACCCTTTTCCAATAAAAACATAAATGAAAAAAAAAATGTATATGATGCTTGAGAATTTAAGGACAAAAGTACCTTAATTGTGATCAGAAAATACTTAAAAATGCATAAATAAAAGCCTGTCAGGTTGTTTCCTTATCACAAACTTCAGCCAGGAGTTGTGTTTTGTTTCATTCACACACGTTTAACACACAAACCTGCATATTTAAACATGATAACTCCACCTTGTGTTGTCATGTGGTAATACAGGAAGTGCTCTACTGTGTTTTTAAACCCCATACACCTTCACTAGAATGATTTGCATAGTCTCAAACCTGAAATTGCCAATCTCTACTGAACAAAACATAAAAAGTAGCTGCTAACTTAAAAACTAGGTATGTTTTTGAGTAGGTAACAGCAGTATAACAATGCTAAAAGCTCACAAGAGTGAATTTTGCATAATATAGGATCTTCAAAATTGAATTAAAGTACAGATTAATATTGAAAATAAAAATGTGAAGTGTAAAGAAGTTGGCAGATATTTGAATAATTGAATCTCCTACAATTTGTAATAAGTATAAATGTCACTTACTGCCTATATTTAATTTTTAACCAGTCATTTTGACCAGTGTAGTCTATTTTTTATAAGTTTATGATAATATAATGAGCAACAAAGTCTAATTCTGTTATGCTAATATAGTCCAGTCTGTTTTTAGACTATGGGGGCCGCTGTAGTCTCCGGTATTAATGGGAAACACTAACAAGAGATAACTGCACTAAATATGACTACACTGCTCTATTTAGTTTTATGGTAAACAAGAGCTGTGGGGGAGTTTGTAGAAAATTTAAAAAACATCACTGGGAAAAAATTATATCAGGCCAAAAATATCGGTGGGTTAAAATATTTTTTGCTACCAACATGCAATTCCAGCCTAACTATATAAGTAATATTCATGTTAAGAATTAGACGATATCTCACTTTCCTCTTTATATTCTCTGTATAAAAATGTTTTGTGCTGTTGTTTTGCCAATTGTCTGTTGTCTGGTCCCTGTTTGTAGACGCTGACTGTCCGCTGAAGGAGGCGAGCAGTCAGAGGATCCCCAGACTCACAGTGAAGGTACAGAGCTCACATTCCACACAGCACGAACAGTAATTATCACGTCTGAGGGTTTAGCATCAGGACTGTCCGAGGGCGTGGCCTGTCTGTTCACACGTGGTAATAAAACTGTGAGAGTGTAAGTGAGGGGACAGAGACACCACAGGGACGATATGACAGCGACTAAATGTGGCAGTATCCATGTTATGCTTTTATTAGAATGGTTTAGGATTGATCTCATGATAATACACTAATAATATGTTGGAACTAGGGGTGTAACGATATCCAAGTCTCACGATACGATATTTTCACGGTATGAACCTCAGGGTACAATATTTATTGCGAAATTGTGGGAAAGCTCACAATATAGTGGAGATTCACGGTATTTTGATATTATACATAATAACAAGGCTGACATTAAAAAATGCTTTGACCAGTCAATTGGTACATTTATTGTCATATTCTACAGATGTAATGATATCCAAATCTCACGGTACGATATTATCAAGATATTTTCAAGAGGCTAATATAATTTTTGGCCTTTAAAATACCATGCCAAGATTTTGGTGTGAATTATTTCCATCATAATCCTAAGAATTCAAGTAAAAAACATATTGTTATCTGCTCTAAAATGAATCATGGGATATGTAGTTTCCGATGTTTATAAGCTGTTGTTACTATAAAACCATGCATTTAAGCAAAGGAACTTGTGATTCAATATATTGTGACAGACCACAGTATTATTGTGAGACTTTTTACGATACGATATCATGATATTTCAGTTATTGTTACGTCCCTAGTATATATAAATATAGTTGATATTATGCAACCAGAAAGCACCAGTACAAATAAATAGCCCCCCGGCCCACGTAGTTGCCACTTCTTTTTCCCATGTTTTACAAAACAATCCAATTTAGGCCCAGCATTGTACCCTTTGTTAACTAGAAATCTGTTTGTTTGTCTGTTTATCGTATTCATTTTTTGTATTCATTATTATTGTTCACATATTATTGTGCTGCTACAGGCCAGAGAGCACTGTTTGTCTCTCCTTCAAGAGGCATTATACAGCCACCAGGGGGCAGGCACCATGTTGCCGTGAGTATGCCTTATTTATATTAGTTATGTATTCTGTATAGTATACCATATTACATTTAAATATATATTTTTAATATTATTCAACCAAAAATTATGTAAATAATTTTATATGAGTGCCATGCCACTTGTTGCTGAACTTATAAATTGCCATAAAATTGCACTTCTTGTTGGTAAATCGCCACTTTTTATGTCTAGATTAGAAATAAAAGTAGTTAACTGTTAATTATTTATTTATTTTTACATCTTTTCTGCGTTTCTCAGCTCTGATTTCCTGTCTGTTGCTGTGGATCTGGAACATGAGGTCTTCAGAAGCAGCAAGACTTCCAATACTTACAAAGCTGCTGTCCTTAAAAAGGTTTGTAACTTTTACTTCACCTTGTTCACATCGTCATGAGTATTTGGGAACTGACCGGTGAGATTCTGAGCAGGTGTCAAAGATGAAGGAAAAGACGCCCGCTGCAGTGAAGAGAGGAGAGGAGGAGCCAGAGCAGAGCAGAGAGGAGGAGAGCAAAGAGAACAACACAGAAGTACAAGAGGAAACGACTAAAGAGGAGGCTCCTTCATCATCGTCTTCAGCAAATATGGGGTTCACGTCCGCGTCAGAAATCTATTCAGTAATATGTATAATTTTTTTTTGGTAGTAGTCTCTCTTTTACTCTCGTTTGATTCATGAAAGTGTCCACCTTTGGCAGATATAACAGCTGAACACACTCGTGGCTCGTTCATTTTACAATAGAAATCAAATATTCTTCAGAAAGTTCTTCCTAAGTCTGTTGCAGAAGTTCCCATAAATGTGTGGCACTTGTAGGTTTCTTCACTCTTCTGTCCAGTTCATCCCAAACCAGCTCGATGGGGTTTAAGTCTGGAGACTGTGCTGGACACTCCATGTTTTCAAGTTTACCATCTTGTTCTTTTTTCCTGAGGTAGTTTTGGCAGACCTTGGACTTGTTTTGTTATATTTTATGTTTTCCTTAACCTCTGGCTGTTCAGTTCTTACCTTTATATTTTTTCAAGCTCTTTATTAGACTTGCAAGACTTGAATTGCAAATAACTGGAAAAATTAGGGTGTTCTAAAACTTTTGACTGGTAGTGTATAATATAATTTTTTACAACACAATTCTGTAATTCTACTTTCTGTCCAGATGAAGCGCAAGAGAGTGGGTGCAGGTCAGCGGGGCTCGTCCAACCCCCTTCAGACGGCTAAAGAGCTCCTAAAAACATCCACTGGCCAATCAGAATCAGAGTCTGAACACCCTACAGACGCCGACTTCTCTGTGACGGCATCGATACGAGCCAGAGCCAAGGCCACAGCCACAGCCACATCCATCCTCCTCCTCCTCCTCAAACAGCCCGACGAAGAAACCCAAAGCTCTGACCAAGAAGCAGCAGAAGTTAGCGGACGCTGCCAAAATCTCTCGGACAATTTCTCAATATTTTACCAAGAAAGAAACAAAATGTGAAAACACAAACTCAGAAACTACATTATTTAAAACTGACACAGATGACAGAAGTCCACCACACTCGCCAGTTTCTGAAGATATAAAATCAAATCCAGTGGAGGTGGAGAGTCCAGCTACGATCACGATAGACGCTGATGAAGATGTGATGCTTATACCTGATGAAGATATGATGCTTATACCTGATGAAGATATGATGCTTATACCTGATGAAGATATGATGCTTATACCTGACGGGGAAGAGGAGGAGTTCGTGCGAGTACTTCCAGAGCCAAGCGTGACACCTGAGTAAGAGTTTTCAAATCTAAATTTTGATCAACTCTGTGTTTGTCTAGCTCTTAGAGATTAGGATTGCCATAAGTAAATATAGACAATCAGACACTAATCGATACTAAAACTTGTATCGAATCTAGATACTACTCATTTAAACAGGTATCAATACTAAAAACTCACATTCACAGGACAGAAATGAACCTTTCCTGAATAGTTTTAAAATGATTTTGAGCTTTATCTTCACAAGTATAAGACTGCATACATTAGTATTCTATCATTATATTGAAAATCACGTTTTATTTTCTAAAAGCAAGGCAAGGCAAGTATATTTGTATAGCACAATTCGTACAGAAAATAATTCAAAGTGCTTTACAGAATAAGAAATACATTAAAATCACAATACAAACAAATCAAAACATAAATAATCAACATCAATTTAAACAGAGAGAGACATTAAATGAGAGAGAAGAGTGCGGAATGAAACATGAAAACCTTTCAGTCATATGCAGCTAAACTGAACTGTTTTGAGCCTGGATTTAAACAGAGTCAAAGTAGAGGTCTGCCTCACATCTTCAGGAAGACTGTTCAAGGTTTTAGCTGCATGAATCTGAAACGCTGACTCACTGTGTTTAGTCCTGACTTGGCACCAGCAGGAGGCCCATCCCTGAGCTTCTCAGAGTGTGAGATGGTTCATATGGCACTAACATGTCACAGATGGACTTAGGTGCGAGGCCATGGAGAGACTTGTACACAAATCTCTCAAAGAAAATTTTAACTGGTGCTGAGTATCGAGTCCATTCCTTAGTATCAAAGTCAAGTTTGTGACAACACTAGCAGGCATGTAACAAAATTGTGAATATTTTTCGTCAGTGGTCAGTTTGAGGTTTTGAGGAGACAAAATATAAAAGAGGCGTAGTCTATATACCAAAAGTTTTATACATGACAAAAAAAAAACTAAAACTTCTCATGTTGATTGATCACAATTTTTATTCATTTGTAAAAAAAAAAATTCTAACAAGTGAAATTTTCTTGGCATCTTAATTTTATGAACATAAACAAGGCCCTGTTGTGTAAGTAAATATATAATATACAAAAAGCATATTTTTAAGTACATTTTTAGTAGTAGTAATAGTTGTTTTTTATTCAATCGTTTTGCAGCACAACAAAAAAACAAAACAAAACAAAACATAGACTACAACCCCATGGATCAGGAGTGAAAGGGTTTAGGCTGAAGTAAAAAAGTACTTAATAATAATGCCTAACTCTTTTAACAATGACAGAATTCCAAGAAAGAAAAGCAGCATATGAACAGCAAGTTTGCATTTACAATTTCACTTATGATTTACTGTATATATAAGACTCAAAATATAAATTAAAACAAACAAAATTTAATGCATTATTCATTAATTCCAGAGCTCTATATCTTTCAAAACTAACACTTTATACTTTTTTTTTTACACTTTTTTTCTACAGTGTTAGACTTTTTACATTTTGGAGTGCCTTTACTTCTAATAATAATAATAATAATACAGAGTGTTTTTTATTTACAAGAAACTATTTTCCACCACAAGTATAAATTTGACTTGCTTTTTATTCCCACTTAGACCAAACAAAATGGAGGAAGTTGTGAATCCACCTCCTACGCTATGTGAGGTATGTGTTTCCTTTATTTTTGTCATTTTAAAAACAAGTCTGGCTGATACATTCATTTCTCAATATATTTTTCAGCTCCGATTTACAATATATGTTTTTTCTTTCCCAGGTAACACGTGAAATCAAACCAAAAAGAGAAAGTCCACCTCCTGCAAAGCGCAGTCGTCCAGCAGAGGGCAGCAGGCGCGTGACCTTTAACCCCCACATAGACCAGAGGGCCTTACTTCCTGTGGCGGACCCTCCCAAAGCAGCAACACTCAAAGAGGCGGCCGATATAGTGGTTCGATGTCTGGACCCTTTTTACACTCAGGGGAGGTTTTCTACGAAGGTGAGACCAGACTCCAAAAACACCAAGGTTAAAGTTACACAATATGTTACACAAAATGGACTCTTGTGAGATTTAAGTCGTGTTAGAATCTTCTTAAACATTCCTGGAGTTGTGTTTTGTTTCATTCACACATGTTTGAGTAAATCTCCAAAGCTCTAAATGCTCTGTTCCACCTTGTGATGTCATGTAGTTTTCAAGTTAACAGCACCTTTTACCTTTTGTTCAGTAGAGATTCGCAATTCCAGTCCTGAAATGATCCAAATGATTCTAGTGAAGGTGTATGAAATTTAAAAACAAAGTGGAGCACTTCCTGTATTACCACATGACATCACAAGGTGGAACAGAGTGTTTTCCATGCAGTGTTTGTGTGTTAAAACATGTGTAAATGAAACAAAACACAAGAACATGGATCAGAAAATATAAGCCCTTTTAAAATGGTTGAATTCAGAATAAACAGTCTTAGTGGTTTTGACTCGTTTTGACTCATTTAGATTTATTTGCTTGTTATTATTAAATTAAAGTTATCATTCAAGTTTGAGAGATTTAAATAATTTCAAGTTCAGTCTTTGGTTACTTGGAAATAGGGAGGGAAAACGCAATGGGCTTTTCTTCAAAATAAAAAAAAAGAAACTGGTTGGTTCATTAAATAAATTCATCTGGTCAAGGTAGCTCAAATTATTATATTTAATTATTTATATTTAAGTTATTTTTCATTTTGGAGATTTTGTTTTTGTAGTGTTTTTTTTTCTTTTTCTTTAAAAAAAAATTAAAGACAATAGAATGTAACGTTTAACAAAATACAATAATAAACATAAAAACATAAAACAAACCTAAAACAACAAAATCTCCCACCCCTTCCCCCAAACACACACACATGCACACACACAAATTTAATTAAATAATGTAATGTGGCAGTGCAGCATGGCATTGGGCTTTCTCTCTCTCTCTCTTTTTTTTCTTTTTTAATAAACACTTTTAGTTACTATACTTTAATATTATTTTCACCATCATCATTTCATCATCATTGTTTGTGCAGTGTTTATAATGTTATACTTTCTTTTTTAGGACCTGTTCAAATCATTCGCCCGCTTTTTATCTCATCTTCTCGCTGAGGGTGCAACAAAGGGAAGAGGGCAAAGTAAGTAAAATTGAACTCACTGGAATTGGAGGTTTGGTTCGGTTCACAATCTATTCATTTTATAAGATCAAATGATGAGCAGGGGCCATGTTTAAACACATCTTTTTTAAGAAAACAGCAGGAAAAAAAAAAGCCCAGACAAAACACTGAACATGACCGCAAAGTCTCAATTGCATTAAACGTTTCTATCTTGGTTCCTTTACTGCCCATTATCTGTCCGTCTATCTTGCATATACTAATTTACAGTTTATTATTTTAAAAAAATTTCTGTGAGCCTGCCATGGTTTGATCTGTAACTAAGCCTTGTGGCGTTACCTGCTTGTCTCCATGACGACAGATGAGTTCAATGCCATACTGTGAATTATTCCTCACAAAAGCAATGACTTATCATGGGAGACAAGCAGGTGGCCGTTTTCATAATGAAAAAATTATTATAAACTGTCCGAAACTTTGAACCTGTCCTTCATTTTGTAATTAAGTTTGTGCACTAGAATATTTTACATCATATGAACGCAATCTCATATTTTATTTTATTTTTTTATTTTTTTTTTTTTTTTACAGTCAAAGCCGAAGCCAAAGCTCTTATCAAGAAATTCTTCAGCAAAGTCCAGCGATGTGAAAGTGAGAGCGACTGGAAGCACCTTAAAAAACCTGAGCACAGCAGCAAAACGGTGGACAACAAAGTCTAACATTACAACATTATATACGCCTGTCCCTGTGCCTATAAGCTGCTGTATTATGAACCACAACCCGACGCGCCTGCTGTCTGTTATTTTTGCTTTTTTGGTTAAAAAAAAGTGCAATTTTTAACACATCAAGGGAACAGACCATTACAGCCGTAGCAGACATATTATTCAACGTTAATTTATTTCTTCGACCAGTTTTAGTTATCATATGAATTTTAAGGAATACTTGAATTCATGTTTGCTGACTAAAGTGCAGTTTTTTATTTTAAACTCGTCTTATAATGTGAAAGCTACATAATTTTTACTATTGGAATCTATCAGTCATTTTTTATTGCTGCTATTAGATGTGTTTGCACCATAGAGTCATAGGGAAGTGTGCAGATAGCCTTAATTAAAATGTTGCTTTATTGAGACGCCAGGAATTACAGCTATAGGTAAAGCTGTAGTCTCTGTCAGGTAGCGCTTTGTTTTGCCAACCATCTATGGAAACGGTTCGCTTGTCATAGCCTGGTAATAGTGTTGATGAACCGTAGCCCCAGTGTTTACAATAACGTTGCATATCCTATTTTGGGAATGGCAATATTAAATTACAATAAATAATAGCAATAAAATAAGTGAATTTGTCAAAAAAATGTCTGTTTTTCTGTTTATACTGTAAAAAAATGTCCACTTGGCCTATTAAACTTGCAGTACCACAAGAACTACAGTTTTCTTGTACATTTTAATATCAAAATGACAACAGGATGAAGGTATCTGAGTTATAAGTATTAATAATAATTTGCTATAGAATTTATTTTACTTTTTACAAGACTTAGACAAACTTTATTGATCCACAAGAGGAATTTATTTGGACACAGGAGCTTACACATCACAAAATAATATAATAACAAGTAAAAAATGTATATAAATGGTAATAATAAATTCTATAAAAATAAAAGTGCCAAAAAGACAGTAAGAAGCATAAATATGTAAATGTATATGTACAAGTCGAAATAAAATAGAAAAAAAAGTAATAAAATCTCAGTTTACAACTAGTGAGAATGGAGACGCCGGTGATGGGACGCTTTTAATAAAAGATTACGTCATTTACAGTTGTGATACGTTCATGGGAACTTGTAATAAACAATTTTCATGATAAAATAATTCATATTTGGCATATTTAATATAGTTACTAGATTGTTTCCCCAACATATTTATTATCACACATAAATATTTAAGTCTATAAGCTCTAACTAATGCTACTGATTAAAAATATGTGTTTTAGTAAGTAAGAAGTCTTATTGAATACCTTTTACATGTATTACTTGAAATTATCGGCCCAGTTTTCATACAAATTAAAGAACTATAATTGTTTTTAAAAGACAAACTAAACTATATGCTGTGAATGAGCAAATATATTTTAATGTATTTTATTAAACCCCAAACTAAGCCACACAATCTTTAGAAATAAATATTTCTGATTTCACTTGAACGCCACGACGTGAGGAGCGGACCACTGGGCTCACGGCGAGGAGGGAGGGCTGCGTCCTATTTCTGTTTTCCTACCTCCTCGCTGCCTCACAACCTCGATTCCTCCGCTTTAAATCCCGCCCACCGACTTGACAAACCAATAGATATTAACCAAACTACTTTCTATTGGTCACTCTTCCATGTGGGCGGGATTAGAGTTTAGGAATTGAGGATCTGAAGCGTCGAGGAGGCAAGGTATTAGAAATGGGATTTAGCCAATGCTGTCAATTTGCCGAAGCCGAAGCGTGCATCAAAAGACACCGTAGGAACTGGCATCTCCTTCTCCTCCTCCTCTTGCACTCTTTAACATTTTTTCTGCAACTATTTACATTTAATCTCCTGCAGAATTATCCACACTAGCTTTATTAGCACGTGGAAGGCTACTTAGCAGGTGCACAGATTTTATCTTGAGGAAAAAATTGTGAAATCATCTGAAATTGCGGGGAGACCGTGGTGTGGATGTTGTTGTGTTGCTGTCACTTCCGGGGCTCTTTCTCTCTCCATCTCTCCCCCAGCCTCGCATCCGTCGCTGTGGGGTGACATCGCTACCGCAGGGCCCTCGGTGTTTTTTAGGGGCACCACCAGGCAGCAAGAGGAAGGCGGGAGAAGCGGGCAGTTCCGAGCGGCCTCCGATGCTCCGTGCGCCGGGAACGATGGAGGAGTTCGAGACGGAGGAGGACGAGCCGTGGTACGACCAGCGAGATCTCGAGCAAGGTGAGACAGACACGCGATCAAAATGGATTAAATGCTTCTGGGTAAGGCTGGTTGCCAAATAAGACATTTAATTAGCTTTATTAGGATCCTAGGGTTGATATGGGGTAGCTTTGTAAAATCCTCGCGTGAGTATTTTGATTTGCCCTTCAGATTTGACACATCTCTGTCAGTTATTTTGATTATTTTGTTGAGGGTGACCAGATTTTCAAAATAAAAAACTGGGACATCCTTGGTTTGCGGTGGTTGTTAATAATAAAATTGTGAAACGAGTGTGTGATTAAGGAAAATTGTTGCAAAAATATCAAAATATCGTTATATCGCATCGTTTTATGTGATGATACAGTATCGATATCATGGGCTGCTGTACTGATACATCGCCAAGAGTATATATATATATATTTTTGTATATTTTATTAAATTATTTTGTTACAGTTGCTTGTTTTAGTGGAAGAAAACTATTTTATGTGACACATTTGACATTTTCACTGTTTTGATGATTAAAATGTGCATGTTTCATATGAACTTTGCACAAGAAGTGGTTTAACAAAGACTTTTAGTATCACAGCCATGACTTAGCAGTTATTTTTTATTGAACCATATCGAATCGATTTGAAATATATCGTATTGAATCGAGATATGTATTGTATCAGCATCTTCTTACTGATACCCAGCCCTATTCTGCACTAATTTTGAGTCAGTATAGTCACATTTTCTTTGTGTTTTCATTATTTTTAAGCAGCTTTTCTGTATATTACCTAAAGAAATGACAATTTATGCTTCTATTTACTGTCGGAAGTGATCAAATTGGTCCAAAATCGGGACACCAGGGACATTTCTTGTATAAACTGGGACAAATCACTGGTCTTGGATAAATCTGTTGGGACAGGGGAGACAGGGCTCAAAACTGGGACTGTCCCGGGTAAATAGGGACATCTTGTCAGCAGTGGACTAGCCTACGTCAGCATCTTTCTGCTATTGTGTCGGCCTATTTGCACAGTAGACCTATAACAGTCCTCTAAAATTCTAAAAAGTCAAATTTAATATTGATTTTCTGATCAATAGCTGGAGAAACATTTACTTTAAATGTATACCATAGACTGATATAGCCTGCGCCATTTAAAGGAGATGTATTAACGTATAAGAAATCAACATTTAGTTTTATATTCCATTATTAGCGTACTCAGAGTTGTAGTTTGATTGATTCGTGCACTTTAAGTAATCCTGTATTGTCCTGCATTCAAGGCTTAAGTGCTCTGAAAGTCTGTTTTCACCTACCCCTTATCCCCACCCACTGCTTTGTACTTGCGTGTGGTTTATTCTTGTGCTCTTCAGTTTTCAACTCGAAGTCAGTGGCCCTGTTTAGTTTTATTATTAGATCAACATTATGGTTTACAAATAACAAAATGTAAAGTCATGAGATAGCCGTACTAATAAGCAACAACCTTTGATTTTTAGAGATTTTAAGTTTCTGATCGACAACTTTAATACCGACTTCTTGGAACAGCTCCCATAGTTTAATCTTTTGCCCTTTGTCCAGCGCTGAAACCTTACTTAAACTTTATCATATTTAGATTTTAAAAGCCCAGTAGCCCCCACAGTGTCAAAGATAAGCCGTCCCCAGTCTTCACATGTAACAAATGTCGACCCAGAGTGCTCTGTATTGATCTTGTGGCTTCCTTGATTGTGCATTGACCGATACTATCCTGAAGGCAACCAGACAGAAGTCAATCAATGTCTGCTTATTTATCTCTGCTTCTTTACCGGAAAAACTATAAAATTTATTGCGATTTACGATTTCTAAGCAGATGTGTAAAGTAACTAATAATATGTTACTGTAACTGATTAGATTTTTGGGGTAATTAGACTATTTTGAAGATTTTTAAACAGTAAAACTCATTCTTCATGTGTACTTTTTACTTTTACGGTAACAGAACTTGTACTTGCAATTAAGTATACTATAGTTTTAGCCAAGTAATTGCAGTTTGCTTTAGTAAATTCCATTGCTGGCTCTAGATGTAGCGTTTACCCTGATGCAATTCCTGAAATAACTTTAACATTTTGATTCTAAACACAAAAACATAATTACAGATTACTCTTGTATTTTATTCAAGTTTTTAGTAGGAATGTTACAATAACCGAAATATCGTGATATCATATCGTCAAAGTTCTCACAATAATATCGTGGACCATCACAACATATCGAATTACAAGTCTCTTTGCTTAAATTAAGAGTTATGGTGCAGCAATAGCTTAAAAAAACAGAGGGAACTACATAGACCATGATCCTTTGCTCCATTTCAGTGTAGACTACAAGAAGAAATAACAGTTCTAAGCACTTTTAAGTCTTAGTTCTTTGGATTAAGTCTTGTCAAGGCATTTCAAGAGGAAAAAATAGTATATTAACAGTTTTAGCTCTTTAACCTCCACAAAATATCGCTCTAAATATCATACCGTGAGGTTCGTACCGTGATGATATCGTTACACCCCTAGTTTTTAGTAATCCCCAGTTTAGACCAAAGAGTCCAGAGTCTTGTATTGTGAAATTAAATAGTGTATAATTACTAGAGATGTAACAATAACCGAAATATCATAATATCGCACCGTCAAAAGTCTCAATAATATCGGAGGCCATCACAATATATCGGATTACAAGGCTGTTTGCATAAATTAGTAGTTATGGTGATTTTAATGATTTTCTTATTCTATAAAGCACTTTGAATTACTTTCTGTAAATTCCAGACTATAAAACGCTACTTTTTTCTCACAATTTGAACCCTGCGGATGGATTCTTTGTTTGGCACATTGTCCTTTCATATATACGGTCTATGATTTGGCGACACAGCGACCTAGCGATATTGTCAGTGCCTTCAAATTGTTTATCGCTGTGTGATAAAATAAGTTATGATGCTAAATGAACATTAGTGAGGGGAATACTCATACTTCAGTAGCTGGACATCCACTCATACCAGATCGACAAAACTATCCTTGCCCCTGAGAGAGTTTGAAATCTGCTGACAGAACAGCAGCTCTTTCTGCAGAAGACATGCATGGGAAGAGACGGGGGTGATGCGCTGTGAAAGATGCTCGTTTGATTGTGTTTTTAACAGTTATTTTGAGCTTCTTGCACACACCCTCCTCATGGAAAACACACGAAGAAATGCAGCTTTTAAGTTAAGAGCAATTTATGTGACTGTGGAAGAAGGAAATACAGCGACTGCATGTGAGCTCAGCATCAGTGAGCCGATGGTGAGATTTTGGCGATGGCAGCGCGACGAACTGACTCGGTGAAAAAAGACGACAAAAACTTTCAGAGGCGATAAAAGCAACGAGCTTGAAAACGTTCTTGAAGACGTGGACACCCGTGGCTTATATTCAGGTGCGGCCTATATATGTACAATTTTTAAATTGTGTTAAAATTGAGTTGATGCAGCTTATATTCAGGTGCGCTCAATAGTCCGGAAAATACGGTTGTGTACGAATTGTGCTTTACAAATAAACTCAGCAGTGGTTAAAAAACAGATGAAACTACATAGACCATGATCCTTTGCTGTTGTCAGTACAGACTATATGAAGAATTAACTGTTATTAAGCACGTTTTAAACATAATTGTTCATTTTATAACAGGACCAAAGGCTTTTCTAAGGCTTTTAAAAGGAAGCAGAGGCATATTCACAATTTTGTAAACCTCCACAAAATATTGCAATAATATCGAACCGTGAAAATATTGTATTGAGGGATTTTGGTATCGTTACATCAATAATAATTACATATATTTTTCACTATATGCCTAAATAACATTAATAACAGCATTATTAAACAGTAACTATGCATATAACTAGCTCTGGCAACTTGAGTGAAATGTCTTGCCAAGGGACACAACAAATTTAAGAGAGGTGTGAACCTGCTACTCTCCCGTTGGTGGGCAAACACTCAACCCACTGCACCACTGTCAATCCACTAAATTCAGATTGCAGACAGAACAAATTGAACTTCTGCTTTCTACCACTACTGAAAGAAAAGTGGATCCATTCAAAAAAGATATAAATATTTGTTTAAACTGTTAATCGCTATGGTAACAGTCCTAACTTTTCGTCATTCTGAAAACCACACAGAGCCAATTGCGTTGTTACGTACGTAGGTTTAGCGTCACCCCACCTCCACGCGGCCCTCTCCTGATCACCTGCTGACCCAGAGACGTAAAGCTGCTTTGGGCTTCCTCGTCTCCGCGGCGACGTGGATGTTCCAGACTGATGCATTGTCCTGGTTTTCATATCACCTCGATCACGCCTTGGTGGGGGGTCACAGCTGAGCACATGTGGCTCCAAGTCGTGACCCATAAATGATGTGGTGATGTAACGGGCAAACTGGTGACTGACTGTGTGTTAAAAATGACCTGATTGGTTTGTTGTGTGCAGATGACATTATAAAACATAACTATAACAAAGAAGCTAAAATATAACAGAGAATGTGTAGGATTACAGTGCAAATATGACTGCCATTTAATTTAACTTTAAATTAAGAAGAAATAAGGCTCTAATTTACTGCTCAAATATGCAGCAGATTTTTTCATTAATCATTTTTATATATTAATTTTATTATTTGAGACAGTGCTTATTATTTATGCAAAATATGTAATTTATTTCATGCACATTATTATTATTATTATTATTATTTTTTATTTTTTTTATTATTATTTTTTTAAATGCAAAATCTTGAATTATTTGAAATGGTTTTCCACAAAAATTTAAGAAGAAATAAGGCTCTAATTTATTGCTCAAATATGTAGCTGATTTTTTTATTCATAATTTCAATATATTAATTTTATGATGCATTGTTTATTTATTTATGCAAAATGTAGAATTTATTGTATTATTATTATTTATTTATTTTTTATTTTTTAATGCAAAATAATGAATTATTTTTAATTTTTTTCCACAAAAATCTGGAGTCTCTTACATAGTTGTCCTGTTTTTGGTAGTAAAAGACCTGAAATAAGAAATGAATAATTATTATTTAACAGTGTTATAGGTTTGGCTATTGTATTTGACTTAAAGGTGCACTGTGTAACTTTATTGGTAGTGTACCGCTACGTACTTGTTTCAGTGGAGACGTTATTGCAGTATAAAAATCCTGCATTTTACTACATTACTACATTTACAGAAACGTTTAAAAATGCTTTGAATAACATCCTGCATCATTCCTGTGCATGGGCTTGCCTCTCCACAGACCTGACCTGTAACTTTGCCTGATGCACAAGTTCAATGCTGTACTATGGAACAGATTCTCCATTAGAAAAGTTGCATATTTAACCTTTAATATGAGAATTTGTTCCCAGCTCTATACACTGTCCCATGTTAGAACCACAAACCCTCTGACTGCATTTCGCCTCATGTCTTTTCACACTTCAAGCCGCACAGAGAAAGCACCCAGTCATCTCGCTCCGATTACATAACGAAGAGTGTGCGGCGCGTGTGGACTCCTTTAGGATCCCAGGGAGACTGTGGAGGTTTGGGACTCGCTCATTAACACCAGACAGGCCTCGGTGTTCTCAGCCGCAGTGGATAAACCCGAGACAGGAAGTGCGCGGTGAAGTATTCGAGTGCAAAGATGAGACGTAGTGAATAGGGCTGTGCAAAAATATTGAAATATCGATATATCGTATCGTTTAATGTGATGATACAGTATCAATATCGAGGGCTGCTGTATTGTATTGTATTCAGTGTTGGGAAAGTTACTTTTAAAATGTATTCCCCTACAGATTACAGATTACATACCTCAAAATGTAGTTTGTAACGTAATCCATTATATTACTTAAAGTGAGTAACGTAATCTGAATACTTTGGATTACTTGGTTTGCTGTAGAGAAGCAAAGACGAGGAAATTGTAACATAAGAAGTTTTGGCTGCTAAAAGAAAATAAAAAGCCCAAACTTTACTTAACCAAATTAAAAGTAGTATTGATAGAAGAGAAGGAGACATGGTCCGCCAGCTTTAGACCTGGTTTTAGTCCTGGTTTAGACCTGGTTTAGACCTGGTTTAGAAGACCTAATTTTAGACCTGGTTTTAGACCTGGTTTAGACCTGGTTTGGACCTGGGTTTAGCCCTGGTTTAGACCTGTTTTTAGACCTGGGTTTAGACCTGATTTAGACCTGGTTTTAGACCTGATTTAGTGTCCGGCAATGAGTGGAATTACTGGGAAAAAAAAAAAAAAAGTGTTTCAAAATGTGAAAACAGGAAAATACCGCGGTGTAATCCATTTATTTCAACAAAGTAGCTGTAATTTAATTACCACTCACTTAAACAGTAACTGTAACTGAATACAGTTACTCATAATTTGTACTCTGATTACATAACTCTGGTACATGTAATCTGTTACTCCCCAACACTTATTGTATTATATCGCTAAGTGTATTTTTTGGTGTATTTTACTAAATTATTTTGTTGCAGTGCTACAGTTTTGTTGCTTGTTTAGAGCAGGGATCTCCAGCCTTTTTCTTCTGGTGAACTACCTTTACAAAAAGAAAATGCCAAAGAGCTGCTTATTTTAGTGGTCACAAGAAATCGGTCATAGGGAAGCTTTAGATGGGGAACAGTTAGATATCTATAAAATAGATAAACATAAACCTTTATCCATTTATTAGTGCACAAATTTTAGGGTGACCAGATTTTCAAAATAAAAAAACTGGGACATCCTCTTTTTTTTTGGTGGTTGGTAATAATAAAATGGTGAAACAAGCATGTAATTAAGGAAAATTGTTATGCAGAGACTATTCATGACTAACATGTGAGTCAGTACAGTCTCATTTTCTTTGCATGAATCATCACATGTTGAGGGACTAGGGGTGTGCAAAAATACCAAAATATCGATATATCGTATCATTTAATGTGATGATACAGTTTTTTTTTAGTTTTTAAGTAATTTTGTTACAGCGCTACAGTTTTGTTACTTGTTTATTGGAAAGAAACTTATTTATGCAACACATTTGACACATTCACTGCTTTCATGTTTAAAATGCTTGTGTTTCATATGAACTTCATATGCACAAGACGTGGTTTGACTTTTAGACTTTTAGAATCACAGCCATCATTTAGCCATTATTTTTTACTGATTCATATGGAATCGATTTTGAAATATATTGTATCAAACTGAAAGTGCACTGTATCGAGATATGTATCGTATCGGAACCTTCTTAATGATACCCAGCCCTATGAGGGACTGTTTTCTTTGCCATTAAGATAGATGCTAGGTGATATCAGTCCACCGCTGCCAAATGTTCTATCGGGAAGTACAAATCACTGCTGCTGCTCAGACATAAATCCTTCAAATGCAAGGCTGGTTTTACTTCTAAAATTATTCTATCGACACAGACATTTACATCGACAGTCTGGTGTAATAATAGATTTGCTTCAGGTGTTTTGTGGAGTGGGTAAGACTGTTTTTAGTGGCAGGATAACTATGGCCATTGACATGCACTAGCCTAGCACCAGTGACCTCTGCAAATACAAGGACCGGATGGAATATTTAAAAAAGTGTCTCCTCACGTCTCCAACACTCTGACTCACTGGGAAATGAGGCCCTATATCCAAAATTCTGGACTGTCCCTTTCATTAATCAGATTTTACTTATTCAGCACAGTGCGTGTAATTCAGAAACCCCTTGGTGAGCTACTTGGAAGGGGGTGTGTTACCGAGCTACAGGTTGGAGACCCCTGATTTACAGTGTAAATACAGTTGATGATTCAGTAGTAATGTACTTTTTGTGGCAGTCGCAAATCTGGATAAATTAAGGTAAAATACATGTCCACCATTGCTCTGGCTGGAATATGTTTCTTATCAAAGCCATAACTCTCTCCCAGGCTTTAAGTTTATTATTTATTTATTAAAACGTAAGACAAAAAGGGTGTGGTTCTCCATGTTTTTTAGTTTTTTGTCATAACCTCCTTGTACTAGGTTACCAGTTTTCTGCAGTATAAGCCTTCCTGCCTTCCTCCCTCTGCGCGCATGAATAATGTATAGTTCAAGCTGTGTGGTAAACTGCAGTGTCACACTTTTCCACAGGTTTTACACAAAGCACGAGAATGCAGAACTATACAGCACAAAAACACATTGTGAAGGACAAGATGTAACTGAAGTAACTATGAACTATAATTGATAACATTGAAAATAAAACCCCAAAATAACCCTAAAGTAGAATTATCCCATAAAGCTATTCTAAATCTACAATATGCTTAAAAACACAAACTGCAATAAATAAATATAGCGTAATGAAACACTTTGGTAAGTATTTTACATCTATAATGAATCATAGAAGTCATTTATTCAACCCTCTGCAGCTAAAATCTTATTATAGAACAGAAAAATAACAATAAAATTACCACTAGCAGAGGTGGAACCAAGTCTTTGTTTTGCAAGTCTCAAGTCTTTGACCTCAAGTCCGAGTCAAGTCCCAAGTCAAAGACAGGCAAGTCCAAGTCGAGTCTCGAGTCACTGGCCCATAAGTCCAAGTCAAGTCCAAGTCGTCTGCTTTGAGCTTCAAGTCTTTAAACCAAAGCACCAAATATAACTTAGATTTTTGTAATTTATATGACTTTTAAACTAAATTGTTCTTATAAAGTCATGGTATATTTATATATGAGTATTTATATAGTATATAAGAGTTGTAGAAAATAATTTTGTTAATTTTTCCTTTTTAAATGTCTTGACAAGATCTTAGTGTGAATCATTACGGTCAGAATAGAAAGAATTCAGATTTAAAAGTGCTTCTCAAGTCCGAGCCAAGTCCCAAGTCATTGACTTTCAAGTCCAAGTAGAGTCCCAAGTCTTAGTTCATTTTATCAAGTCAAGTCTCAAGTCCTAAAAATAGTGACTCGAGTCCAAGTCCCCACCTCTGACCACTAGTACGAAGAAAATGTTCCACAAGATAAATATTGACCTAAATATGATTGCTTCTGTAACATCTATTTAAGCATAAGTTGATATATAGTGCTTCTCATGACAAATGTTACCAGTGAAGTGGGTATAAGTGTATAGAATTGAGGTTTTTAGGCTGTGAAATGTTCCTAATGGAGATCTTGTTGTAACGCTCTGTCCCCTTGTCCCTCTCTTGGCTCCTTAGATTTGCACTTGGCAGCCGAACTTGGCAAGACGCTTCTGGAACGCAACAAGGAGCTGGAGGACTCTCTTCAGCAGATGTACGTCAACAACGAGGAGCAAGTGCAGGAGATAGAGGTGCGTACGGACTCACTGTGGTCTGATTTTAAGATGACAATGTAAATATAAACCTTTACAAAAATACTGAGTTACAGCTGTGTGTGACTAAAGGAGTGTGACGTTCATCTCCAGTCAAATGAAGCTCAACAAGGCTGCAGTTATAGATGTGAACTTGGAGATGAGTTCCATATTAGGAAAATAGCGGGGCGTGTGCATATGTTCCCTCAGCCTTTTTTTTTTTTTTTTACAAAATTAGGCCCTATGTTCTCACATTTCCTCATTTTTATCATCAATTTGCATTAGATTTTATCCCCATTTTCCCAAATTTGTTAGTCAATTACACCCAACCTATTATCCAGCAGCAGCTGACTACAGATGTAATGTAGAGGTCATGGTGCAAAGGACCCTAGGTTGAAATGACTCTGAATCATCCCTTTAAATGTGGTATAAAAATAAAAATGACTTGAATTAGAGTTTCATTTTGAGAAAAATCTTAGAAATGAGGGCTGAGGGAACATAGAGCTGACCTCAAAGAGCAAAGCAACAACACCAGGATCATGTAGAGAGGGTTAATACAAATGTACAAATACGAACAAAATGACAACAGAGAGAGGGGCGACAATTTTTCAATGTGAAGTAAAGTGGAGTCGATGGAGCCAGAAGCGCCCACATGACTCACTCTCTATTTGTAATAAGGCGGCAAGCAGATTAGCTATGGCCATTTACAGTTTATGGGTGGGATGAGACCACATTTTTACGAGATGTGAGACAAGGCAAGATGAGATCTTGAAATAATTTACAATAATCTGATCAGTTCACAATTTTGGTAACGTGATTTTAAATTGGTTAAAAAATAAGTTTTGTATGCGCTGATATAAAGTTGTAAAAATGATTAAAACCCAATTAAATGATTTTCAACATTTTATCATTATGCTTTTAATAGCCTAATGTATCAAGCTACTTTTATGGTTTAAACCAGACCTTCGGTTGACTCTCACCTGCCCGGTTGGAATTACTAAATAAACATATTTTATCATTTTACATCATGCATGGACCAAAGCTGCTACTTTTTAAAGTAGGCGTGTTAGAGTAGTTTCATTGTAGTTAGCTCCTCCCTTCGTGCAGATATAGGGAAGTGTCCGCCAGCATTTTGACCGGAACTGAAGAAGCAGCTTGGATGAGCTGGGAAACATATTCGACCAAAATAAACTTTTGTCCAGTTGACAAATTGAATTTCTCCTTTTGCGATGGATTCTACACTGAACGACTGAGGGATTTTATACACATTTGTTTTAGAAGTATTTTTTCTAATGACATTTTTTGATAGTCAACCTCACTTTTTCATTGCTTAGTCATAAAACAAACTCTTACCAGACTGACCAGCTCATCAAAACAATGATATTTGCTGCTTTTTATAAAGAAATCTAATTAATATTATGCAGAATTGAGTTATGCATTTTGGCCCAGCCTTCCACAATATTTTCTGTTTCTCATGTGGCCCCATGGAAAAAAATAATTGTCCACCCCAGGTTTAAACTGTCAACATACACATTTTGTCACGACAGCTGTAACAAAGATAAATGGGACCACTGCATCCTAGAGACCATGACTCTTTTGAAATGTTATAAGGTATGTCATATTAAATACTAATTGTGAGTGTTGTTTTTCCTTCAGTATTTGTCAAAGCAGTTGGAGATGTTGCGGGACATGAATGAGCAGCACGCCAAAGTGTACGAGCAGTTGGACGTGACGGCGCGAGAGCTGGAGATCACCAACGAGAAGCTGGTTCTGGAGAGCAAAGCCTCACAGCAGAAGATCGACAGGTCTGACTCTGCTCACAATCACGAAAGATGACAATATACAACAAATACTGCTTCTTTGTCTGTAAAAATGTGGACCAAACCTACTGTTTACTTTTGTTTAAAGGAACTGTATGTAAGAATATGAATAACATAACATAAACCTGACCTGTCTGTGCCTCCAGATATGAGTTAAAGATGCACAAATCAAATACAGCTTTTACTGATGACTATTCTAATGCTGATTTATTCATAAATACAAAAACCTCGGGGCATGATGTTATATTTATTTATGTTACAATCTGGTGTTTTGGTTTTCAAGACAATAATCCAATCAGAAAGTAAAATGAGCCTCACATGAGTCTCTCTTTTGTGTTGCCAGTTTCAATGCTGAAATCCAGTTAGTTTAAACCAGGGGTGGGCAATTATTTTTTCCATCGGTCCACATGGGAAACAGAAAATATTGTGGAGGGCCGTGCCAAAATGCATAACTCAATTGTGCATAATGTTAACTGTATTTCTTTATAAAATGCAGTAAATATTATTGTTTAGATGAGTTGGTCAGACTGGTAAGAGTTTATGTTATGACTAAACAATGAAAAAATGAGGTTGTCTTACAAAAAATGTCATTTAAAAAAACACCTCTAAAATAAAAGCAATGCAGCTTTAGTCCATGCATGAGGTAAAATTATAAAACATGTTTATTTTGTTATTCCAAATTATCTTTAACAAGTTGGTCAGAGTTAACCAAAGGGCTGTACATGGCTGAGGACCAGTACAATACCCAGTTCTGATTTAAACCTAAAATTATTCTCTCTAATCTGAATGTTCACTCCCTAAACCCCAGCACATGCAGCTAGTCATGAATCAGTGCTAGTGCAGCCCTTGCAGCTCAGTGAGGGAATTCTGGAGGTTCTGATCTTTCACATGAGGCCTATCCATAAACTGAGAATGAGACAAGCTTGTATATGTCCTCTATCCGGAGGTTAACACACTCACATTAATACCCTTTTAACAACTGTAGAAGTGCAGGCTATGTGCAATTCCTTTAAAGGGACAGTTCAGAATTTTGGTCATAGGACCTCATTTCCTAGTGAGCCAGAGTGTTGGAGACGTGTGGAGACACTTTCTTAAATATTCCATCCAGTCCTTGTATTTGCAGAGGTCGCTGGTGTTAGGCTAGTGCATGTCAATGGTCATAGCTTTCCTGCCACTAAAAACAGTCTTAGCCACTCCACAAACACCCGAGGCAAATCTATTATTACACCAGACTGTCGATGTGAATGTCTGTGTTGATAGAATCATTTTAGAAGTAAACTATTTATGTCTGAGCAGCAGCAGAGGGTTGTACTTCCTGATAGAAAGCTTGGCAGTGGCGGACTGATATATGAGAAAATAGTCCCTCGACATGCTACGATTCATGCGATGCAAGTTTATTTTTATTTCAAACATTATTCTATCAGCACAGACATTTACATTGACAGTCTGGTGTAATAATAGATTTGTTTCGGGTGTTTTGTGGAGTGGGTAAGACTGTTTTTAGTGGCAGGATAACTATGGCCATTGACATGCACTAGCCTAGCATCAGTGACCTCTGCAAATATAAGGACTGGATGGAATATTTAAGAAAGTGTCTCCACACGTCTCAAACACTCTGGCTCACTAGGAAATGAGGTCCTATGTCCAAAATTCTGATTTAATTTTACTTAAATTTTGGCATACAAGAATTGGATTTCATGTAAAACTATACATAGGGCTAGGTGATATGACAAACATTTTTAAATTAAAATCACACTTTTCTATTTGCCTTTGTTTTTGTCTTATTAAAAGAATTTTTGATCATTGAAAGAAAATGGCAGAGGATTGGCTGTGAATCTCTCCATTAAAAAAATATTCTTTCAACCATTGCGCTTCAGAATTACAGTATTATTACATTGTCAGTAAACTAGTGGAGTCTCAAGTATCATAAAAACCTGTGTATCACCAGTACCACCTTTTGAAAACCTCTGCTTTACATAATGTGTGCGTGGCTGAATGGTAAAGTAGTGCACACCGACCAGAAACCAGGCTGTTGCATACATAAGCCTAAAGCTCATTTTCTGTTGTTCTGAACGAGAGTCAGAGGTCAGTACAAATCATATTAGTTCGTGAATACGGCCTTTGTCTGAGTCACATATTCTGCAGATTTATATTATAACCTACGGGAGACTTGGGTGACTGTTTTTGAAGTACCGAATGAATAAGTTAATTGTAGTTTCTGCAGGCAAATAAACAATACAATATGAGAGTTATTTGCAATTGCCCCATGCATCTACCCCAACCGTGCATACTTAATCAGAGCTGTATTAACATTTGTCAGGGCAAAAAAAGCAAATAAGAGGCGAAACTAAAATGGAACTGAAGTAAATTTAAACAAGACACTTAATGGTTTTCGGACAATAAAATGCAAATAGCAGTCTCATTTTGAAGAGCTGCTTTTCTAATGTATTTGTACTGGGGCTGAGCAAATTTATCTGGACAAAAATTGAGTGCCAGTACTTGCGTTTTGTATGTGAGGAGTTCATCTATTGCTAGAAACTACCCTGCTACTTCCCCCCAGATGCCGAATATAGGTGAAAGTAATACAAAATGTGCTAAATCCTGAACAATTCTTTCCAAACAATTGAGTACAAACATTAAACCAAACAAACAAAAGATTTTCTCATGTGATTTTGTTCATCCAGGTTGACGTGCACCATGGAGACGCTACATGCTCAGGTGGAGAGTCTGACGACGCGAGTGGAGGAGCTGAGGACACTGGAGGAGCTCAGGGTCCACAGGGAGAAGAAGGAGAGACGCAAAACCCTCCACTCTTTCCCTTGCCTCAAAGAACTCTGCACAGCACCACGGTACGACACATCTGATCTTAAGTACTATGACTGAATATTTATATGAAACAAATGAAACACAAAACCACTCATTTGAAGACATTGAGGTGCAGATTTTTGTTTGAAACAGTTCTGAAAAAAGCTATTTTGGTTAAAAAACAGAATGCTCCGTGGAGCAAGAATGATGGATTAAGGTATAATCTGTATCCGGTTTACAACAATCATAGCAGTAGTGAGAAATTAAGCCAATCAAATACTAATCAGCCACTAGCAGCAGTGAGGGAGAGGCCATCAGAGAAAAATAGGAAGCTAGCAGGTAAACAAAGACTGGACTGTTTCAGATTCAGTTCATCTCCTTCTTTAGAACAGAGCAAACGCAGCTCAGGACAGTGAAAATTCTAATTTCTCAAGCCCAGGGATGCACCAATCCTTCTTTTTCAGTTCCGATACTGATTCTGATGCTGCCTCGACTGCTCGATTTCAAAAGCAGTGTCCAGATGACTTCAATCTGAGGCCCCATTTACATGTACACGGGTATTTTTAAAAACTGAGACATTCCCCTTTGTTTATACCCATCTTTTACCCACAAATGGCAAATTTGCCTCTGAAAACGAATCTTTCTAAAAAAAAAAAAAGAAAAAGAGTGGAGATTCTGGAAAACTACGGTTTAGCATTTGCGTGTGAAGTGAGATAAGTGGAGTTTTAGGAGCTGAAAGTGCATCCAAAGTTGCTCTTTTGCTCTGATGATGATCATGAAGCATCAGAGCAAAAGTCACATTTCTTTTGATGCAAACACTTTTCATGTGTTTGCATTTGCACAAACAGCCGATGTATCATATTAATGACCAGAGACGAATGAAGCTTGGAGCTCAGCAATTTTGCCACTTCTTTAACAGATCTGTGGAGGGGTGAGCCCGCTCAGTGATGCACGTTTTTCAAAGTATTTTTGAGTAATACTTACAACAACTGTAATGAAATAAATGCTACAGGTTTGAATCTAATCCAGGTGCCACCCAGAGATTTGGTGTAGTTATGATGGCGCTCGATGGCGTATTTATGCAGGTTGATGTAAATGAAAACATTTTTGAAAACAATGCTGTGTACACGATGTTATTTTGGAAAATAACATCGTGGGCCTTTCGTGGGTGAATGAAGGAATTCACTGAATACAGAAAATTTGTTGTTGAGCAGCTTTTTGGAGTAGAAGTTCGACTCAAACTGTTTGATTCTTTGTAACTTATTAGTGAAGACAAGATAAGCATTAACACATAAGCCAAGACTACACAATTTATGCCCGTGTCTTTCCAGATATGAAGATGGTTTCCTCTTGGCCAACCCCGGCAGTGTGGACCTGGCCGACAAGCGCCCCCTAGACGAGGAGAACGACCGCCTCAGAGACATCGTCACGTCCTTACGCACCGCCATGGCAACCGAGCGCTCCAAACGAGAAAACGCCGAGAGGGAGTGCGCCACCGTCCTGCAGGAGTACGAGAGACTGGAACAGCGCCTCCTGGGGGCCGAGGGGTGCCACCTCAGAGTCCAAGAGCTGGAGGCGGAGCTACACGAGATGCAAGAACTCAGGAAGTCCCGCCCGTGCCTGATCGGAGGAGAAGACGGACTGGAGGCCTTACTCAACAGCACCCCCGAGACCGACACCGTAGACGAGGGGGCGGTGTTGGAAGAGGGAGGCGAGGGAGCCGGCGGAGAGCCCGGTCAGCAGGGCGTACCGGTGCGGAAGAGCTGCAGTGACACCGCCCTGAACGCAATCTCCGCTCGGGATGCTTCCGGACGGAGGCAGGGGAGCTACGCCATGCACGCCAACGGAGTACGGAAAAGAGGCATGTCCATCCTGCGGGAGGTGGACGAGCAGTACCACGCGCTGCTAGAAAAGTACGAGGAGCTACTGGGGAAGTGCAGACGCCACGAGGAGAGCTTATGTCACGCCGAAGTCCAAACCTCAAGACCAGTGTCCAGGGACCCCTCCATCAAGGACTACAACATGGCCGCCGCGGGACCTTCGAGCAAAGACTTCAACGTGGCCGCAGCGGGACCGTCCTCATCATCAGGGGCAGGACAGCTGACCCCGCCCCAGACGCCGTCCACCCCCGAGGCGCTGGAGGGCATCAGCAGGCAGGTGGACCAGGTGGACAAGCGCCTCAGCCAGAACACGCCCGAGTACAAGGCCCTGTTCAAAGAGATCTTCTCCAGGCTCCAGAAAACCAAGAGTGACATCAACGCGAGTAAGAGCGAGAGGAGGGGCAAGAGGAAGGGGCGCAAGTGAGGAGAGGCTGGGTTCACATTTAGAATCTTCTAGAGTCTCTAAAGTTTAAACTGAGGGAGGACGGGGCAGAATCCTATGGTGGGATTTGCTGTTTAAGTGTCAGATTGCAGATTTGTTGACCTGGTTTATGGTTCATATTTCTGGTTAAGTACTGGGAAGAGATGGGTAAAGAAGCAAGTAAGAAAATAATATTCCTCAAGTACAAAGTAGTTCAAAGAAATGGCTCTACTAAGAGGAAAAGAGTAGTATTTAGGAAAACTACTGTCCAAGTAAGAGAAACTTAAAGCAATTTCCAAAGTGCTGCACAGAGATCATAAAATTAAGACAACAAAAAGGTAAATTGCTAAAATTTGGTCATACCAGTCCTAAAACAATAAAAACAGTAAAATCAAAATAAAAGCAAAAACCATAAAAAAACATTAAATAGCAGTAAATAAGTAAAATAAATAAAAAACACAGAGGACCACACAACTCACACGGTGTTAAAAGCCAGAGAATAAAAGTGGGTTTTAAGACAACACTTAAAACACTCCACTGTGGGCGCTGTTGGGACGTGGGGGGGGCAGAGCGTTCAGAGAGTTCGAGGTAGGACACAGAGAAGGCCCTGTCCCCTCTGGTTTTAAGTCTCGTCTTAGGCACCACGAGCTGGAGCATCTCTGTTACTGGTCCAAAGTTCAATGTTTGTGGATTGTTAGTTTGGATATTTCCTCTTCAGTAAATCTCCCATAGAGTTATGTAATCCCTCGCCCTCCATCTGAAATTATAACATCATCAAACTCTGGAGCGTGAACGCAGCCTCCTCCTCCTCTTCTCCTTCAAACAGGTGACTCCTAACTGACCTCACGTAAAACCTAACCTACAACTTGAACTGTTTTATGTTAAAATACTGTATGATCAAATGCCTTGGTCTGTGCTTCGAAATGGAACGCCGCATTCAAACAAGTTCTGACATTAACTAAAAGATGAAAAGATAAGATGCAATGATTAACTCACATGTTACATATTAGCTACACAGACAATATGCCATAACTGAACATATAATTTACTGTTTTTTGCAAAGACCTGTATGAAATTTGGATACAGGACACTAAAGTATAGAAAATAAATGATAAAATATTTCGTGTAACATTTTGCACATATTAAAGAGCCCATATTATGTTGGTTTCCGATTGATGTTTTAATGTTTCTTCATCAAAAACAGACCTGGAGTTGTGTTTTGTTTCATTCACACGTGTTTAATTAACGCACAAACCCTGCATATTTAGGCTGAGTCACCAACCTTTTTGAAACTGAGAGCTACTTCATGGGCACAGAGTCATACGAAGGGCTACCAATTTGATACACTCTTCAGAAATAACACATTTGCTCAGTTTGTCTTTAGTTATACATGATAATTAATGATTAACATTAATCATCTACGTGAAGACACTGATCACGTTAATGATTTCTCACAATAATTATCAACAATGACAGCAAGGTGGGAAACAGAGATCAGTATTCAGCACTTTAAGTTTATTTATCTCAGTAATTTTTACATTTATAATTACAGTGTTAGCAATTATCATCATATTATAATTGCTTCTCTGCACATCAGTATCCCGATTATAAATGCAGTTTTCTAGCCAGGCTGGCGCCACCTAGTGCCTCCACTCAATTTCATTTCTCTCCAGCGACTAGGTCAGGAATCAGAATACACTAGACGGTTCGCAAAAACCCCCGGAAGTGTGAGTTCGGGCACCAGCCAATCAGCGAAGAGTCATATATTCAGTGTTGTCAACGATTCCTGAGATTGAGGACTAAAAGCTGGAACAAAGAGAATGTTTGGTGAATTTTATCAAGGGGAAAGCCGTTATTGCCCTTCTTCCTACTCGATAAAAAAGTGCCTGCCTACCGTCGATCAAACGAATCCTAACGCTGTGAGGTCAGACAGTTTCTACAAAGTGAAACCAGCTGATGAACCAGACTAGCAGTTTCCCGGTTTCTTGACATAATCTTACAAATGCGCAACTGCAAAAATTATATATTTAATAAACCAAGAAAAATACAAACAACCATGAGCTCCTTTAGCAGAAGAAGCTCGAGAGATTTATAACCAGTGGACACTGCACAGATCCACGTACAAGTTCAACACTGCAGCAAATTCTTAATTAAAATCTACTGCGAAAATAAACTCAACTTTACAACATATAAACCATAATGACTATAGAGCCACATCAGCCCATTTGAGATTATAACATTTTTAATTCAGCTTAACACATTTGTTTACATTTTACAGAAATTAAACCACATGGCTCATTTGCATAAACTATAAGTAACTATGTATAACTATAAGTGCTAAAAAAATGCTCGCTCATCTAAATCGCTGATCTAAACTTCATGTACAATTATCATATTTTTAAGATATTGTCATTTTAAATCTATATAAACGCAAGGGGGATTAAAAAAAGAATAGCAACAGAATAAAATTAAATTGTAGATGCAGCTCACCAATGAGTTCTATTGAGCTCTATTTTTACTTTTATTTTTGGGGATGACCTGGTGTTGGTGACCCTTGTGCTGAGTTCTTTTTTAAAACTCCATACACATTTCACTAGAATGATTTGGATGATTTCTGCTGTGGAATTAGCCAATCTCTGTTGAACTAAAGGTAAAAGGAGCCATTAACTTGAAAACTACCACTTCATGACATCACAAAGTGGAACAGACCAATAATAAAGGGTTGCTCAGACATTTGTGAATAAAACAAAACACAACTCCGAGTCTGTTTTTAATGAGGTAACAACATTTTAATAGTCAAATTCTGCATAATACCGGACCTTTGAAATAATTTGTCAATAATTGTTTTGTTTTTTTACATATACTACATAATTTTAAATGCCTGTAATTTGTAGTTTGATTATTCTGAATTGACAATTATTTCCCAATTTCAGCTCCGAACTATTTTTGAATTCTGTCATTGCGACTTTGCCAAAACCTTTTCTCCTTCTCTGTCAAATAGTTGGTTGTTTACAATATTTATGAAGCCTTTTAGAACAATCAACACATAGTACTACTGATGCAGACATATTATCAACCTAACAGCTGCGATAAGCTAATAAAATATCAATTAACTGCGTAACTACTAATGAAGCCACCTTATGGACGCCTCTAGCATTTCTCTGTGATGTTTTGAAGACGTGGTTTCCCTCTATGCCAAAGCGCGGTTGTGTGTGTCGGTGTGTTCCGGTGGAGATTTGGAGATGCCTTGTGGTCCTGTTTACTGCATGACATGAAACGGGGTGGGTCTTGTCTAAAATAACTGTTTCTGAAATGGTAAAAAGTTGCTAAATCCTCACTGTGCTTCTATAATGTTGTGTAGATTATTTAAATTGTAAATAAAAGGTCTACTTGGCGACGATTTTGTATTTTTTGACTATCTTTGGATTTGGTTTATTCAGACTTGCAGTGGTCCGGATTTAATATTTGCTTATTTTAATGTGTAAGGTTTGAAATATACAAAATATGGTTCAGGCTTTTTAGTAAACAGCACATTAAAATAATATTGGTTGACATTTGTAAGTAGTTTATCATTATTTCTAACTTCAGATGGGAACTACAACCTTTTTTTTTGTTTTCCATGTCTACAGTTTGGTGGAACAAGTTATATTTAGAGGTGTAGAGTTAGATTAGCTGGACGTTTTGTGTTAAATGGTCCGTATGTGGTTCGTACTTTTACTGAACCTGGATTGCCAGAGCCTAAACATACAAATAGACAGGGTTCCCAGTCATGGAAATCCTCGAAAAGTTAGTATTTTAGTATCTCTTTCACGCAACTACAGCGTTCTGTTAAGTTATTAGGATATTATGATTATTTTGTTTAAAAGAGACGACAATAAATGCACTGACAGTATTTTAAGTATTAAAAAACTATAAAACCAAACCATAAGGTGAGTGGAAAGGGTTCACATTTCATATTTAGCCCTAAAAGTCTGATCATTTCTACACAAGTTCTGACATTAACTAAAAGATGAAAAGATAAGATGCAATGATTAACTCACATGTTACATATTAGCTACACAGACAGTATGCCATAACTGAACATATAATTTACAGTTTTTTGCAAAAAAACAGTAAAGTCATGGAAAATTCACTTTGGGTCATGAAAAAGTCATGGAAAAATTTTTAAATGTTGTCAGTGAAAAAGAGTGGGAACCCTGAATAGAGGACACTCAAAAGTTTTTCTCATTCTCAGTATAGATGTATATCAGGTGAAAGTTCAGAACCTCCAGAATTCCCTTACTGAGTTGCAGAGGCTGCACTAGCACTGATGGTTCATGGGTTTAGGTCATGACCAATCAGATCAGAGGCATTTTAAGTTTAAAACAACTAGACTTCAGCATTGAAACTGGTTCTGGGTAATTAATTGTCTGGATTATTAAACAACATATTTTCCAGTGTTTTTGTAGTTACAAGGTTCCCACTCTTTTTCACTGACAACATTTCTAAATTTTTCCATTGCTTTTTTATGACCTAAAGTGACTTTTCCATGACTTTATGGCACCTGCACATGTAGAATTGATCAGACTTTTAGGCCTAAATATGAAATGTTAACTCTTTCCACTCACCTTATGGTTTGGTATTATAGTTTTTTAACATTCAAAATACTGCCAGTGCATTTATTGTTGTCTCTGTTAAACAAAAGGTGCAAACGTTTGGAAATAATCATAATAGCCCAATGATAACTTAACAGAACAATGTAGTTGTGTGAAAGTAAAATTCCATGACTTTTCCCAAACTTTCATCGAATTTACAAAATTCTATGACTTTTCCAGGACTGGAAAATGACATTTTCAATGGGCATAACTTTTCCAGGATTTCCATGACTGTGGGAACCCTGACTGTTACACTAGGTTGTTATTTCTAACTTCAGATGGGAACCACAGTCTAATTAGTTTTCCACATCTACAGTTTGGTGGAACAAGTTATATTTAGAGGTGCAGAATTAGATTAGCTGGACGTTTTGTGTTAAATGGTCTGTATGTGGTTTGTACTCTTACTGAACCTGAGCTGCCAGAGCCTAAACTTACAGATAGAGGACACATACAAGCTTTTCTCATCCTCAGATCAGAGGCATTTTAGTTTTAAAACAACTGGATTTCATCACTGAAACTGGCAAACCAAATAAGAAACTCATTCTGCTTTCTGATTGAATAATCGTCTTGAGAATCAAAACATACCAGCTTGTCAAAGCCTGATCCCGTCAGATCTCAGAAGCTAAGCAGGGCCGGGCCTGGTTGGCATCGTCTCCTTGGATGGGAGACCAGGGGAAAATCAGGTGCCTCAGTGGGGCACCAGTCACAAAAACTGTTGTTGTGTCTTTAGGCAAGGCACTTCACCAACATTGCCTTGTATGGAAGTGGAGTGTGTGTGAGTGTTGATGGTGGTCAGAGGGGTCGATGTCGCAGAGTGGCAGCCTCGCTTTCGTCAGTCTGTCCCAGGGCAGCTGTGATTACATTAGTAGCTTACCACCAGCGGGTATGAAGTGAATAACGCTCTGTAAAGCATCTTTGAGCGTCCAAAAAAGCACTCTATAAAACTGATGCATTACTATTGTTTAATAATTTTCTAATAATAATAAACAACATATTTTCCAATGTTTTTGTAGTTGGGAATAAATCAGCATTAGAATTGTTATCAGTAAAAGCTATATTTAATTTGAACATGTTTACCTCGTATCTGAAAGCACAGATTGGTCGTGTTGATGGAATTCAAAATCAAAATCTTTCATACCGTTCCTTAAAATACCTTCATATTATTGACAATATAGTTACTTCTGATTGAGCTTATTTCAAACACAAATATGTGCAAATCCTTTTACATATACACACCTCCCACATCTAAACCTCCACCCCTTCCAAAAAATAAAACCATAAAAATTAAACACAAACAACAGTGAGCCTAGTTTGAACACTTTATTGTGAATACAGGAAATCAGTAAACTGTCGAGAATACAATTAGCACACAGAGTCAAACCCAGCCCGAGAGACATCCGCCCAAGACACGTGCTCCTTTTGTTCACTTTCCCTGGAGTGTAGGCCATATAAAAACACGTGCTATACCATCTGGAAACTGCATGATTAAACACTAATACGCGCCTCTCGTTTCTTTTTTACAAATCCTACGCAGCATTTCTTACAACAGAACACGCTGGTACAGTCGACAGCAGCAGCAGAAGGCACAGTCAAAGAGAAGCTAAAAAAAATATATATATATGAATCATTTTTAGTTATTTATTAACTGTTCATTCCTGACGAGGTTTACATGATTTCTGAACCTGTTTAAAGTTGCGCTGCGGAGCTTTTCTGGCGTGAGCGTAGCGATGTCACCGCTTTGCTTGGAAAGTCCCACAGTACGGCATTAAATATCTCCACGCAGATAAAAAAAAGTGTTGCAACGGGGTCGAGTTACAAGCTGATCTGCGGCGCGGCGAGCCCCGTCACGATGTTAATCACGGCGTAATTGAATAAAGGCAAGATATTTTTTAAGATTTAATGTCATACTGTGGAAGATTTAAAGCAATAACATCTAAAAAGGGATGAACAGCTCGTGTCCGCCCACCAGAAAATGTTCCGTGGTGCATCTTTAAACGTAATCATACTCGTATACAGCACAATACAAGGATCAAACGCAAAGACAACATCCAGATTTGTGTGAATATAAAAAGAGGCTCAGCTATAGTTGTCTAGGAGTTCCCTGTAAAGGCCACATAGCTGGTTTAAGAATATCAAATACCCTGATCAGACTGATTAAAGAGGTAATGTGTCGCTTCAGCGGACCATAGGAGTCAGTGATTTGCAAAACTATCGTATACGTCTGCTGAAAGACAAAAAAAAAAAACCGAGGGCTGTGTCCAACAAAGATTGCCTAGCGACCGTACAGTGGTCACGCACAGTTACGACTTCCTGTACAATACTTTTCTTTTAATAAGGCAGATCATGGTAACAATTTTTAAAAATATATGGAAATACAGTAGAAGCAGCATGGAGGGGTAAAGGGATAAGCGCTAAGGGCGGCAAAAGGAATTGTTCATTAGTAGATTTTTTTTTTGAATTTTTATTTAAATTTTTTTTTTCAAAACAAACCACAAATTCTGGATTGTTAAAATTGCTTCTCCATTTTGTTTTGTTGAGAATTTTAACTGTTTTCAAGAGGTTGGGGGTTGGAAAGAGCTCATATGCGCAATGTAAAAACTGAAGGGCTACTAGAGTTAAAATGACTTGAATTCAGAATTAATATCCAGATTTGAGAATTTTGGACAATTACCAGATCTAAAAATTCATACTTGTTTCATGACATTTTAAGACCAATTTTTAAAAAAGTGTCTTCAACTTTCAAGCTTAATTAGGAGGTCCACTGAGTGATATTAGACTTACATTAATTAGTTTACCTTACATTAAGACATAATTTTTTGCTTGAAATTAGAATTATATTAAAAAAATTAAATCAGTCAGAAATGTCTTGAAACAAATCCAATAAAAAAAATCATCAAAACTACACAAAACAAGATAAAAATTCGGAATTCTCATCATTTGAACACAATTTGGAATCCCTGTCCGCTGCCGTATGTAGATGGACGGAGAAGGCAACATTAGAAATGGAACACAATCCAGAAATGGCTTGGTAGAGGAATGATGGAGTGACAGCGAGGGAAAAAAAAAAAACATTGAAATTTGAAAAAGAAACTAGCAGATCAATCTTCCCAGTCCTTTTTGATGGCGAGGCACCACTCCCAGGAGAGGTGGTCGTGCTTGTCGTCATCAGTGAACTTGGACTTGATGGTGTAGTTGCCGCGGGCGATCATGCCCTTGGGGGCCTCCTCCAGGGGTGTGATGAACTCGTAGGCTTCCTTTGGCCGGGGCCCGTAGCTGCCCACCATGTAGTCTGACTTGTCCACTGTAAAAGAGGCGGAGACACGGGCCAGGGGTTAGTAACACGGTGCAGGGTAAAAGACTTTTTTTTACAAATATGAGATAACCTTAGGTGTTGAAATGTTTAATTAAGGTTTCAGGTTAAAGAACTGTCCTTCCATTCCAACCTCATTGTCAAAGCCTGACCTCATCAAATCTCAGAAGTTAAGCGAGGCCAAGTCTGGTTACTTGCTTATTTATTGTGGCACTGTATTTTCCAGGCTATTAGGCGTGCTCTTAAGCCTCCAACCCCATCAACAAATGACTGTGCGCCCCACAATCCAGAGCGCCCTATTCATGAATCCACTCGGGTGTCCCAGCACGGCTTCAGTAAACTACAAAGCCGCACCACCCTCAGCGCACGCAAACACGCACGGAGCAGACAGCGACCGCGCGGCGAAAAACACCCGCAGCCACACTCATCACTCCACGCCGACGAGGAACGGAACGGAGGAACGAACCGAAAAAGCGAGTGCAATGTGCCACTTCTAGACACGACTGAACAACTGAGTCACTGCGAACACGCCGACAATCCAGTGGTTCCAGACAACACCCTCCCGACACACTACAACTGAACAAAGCCCAGAGTCACCGTGAACGCAACAAACAAAGTCCCACTGACCCATCTAACTGTTGTGTTTAGTTTAAAGTCCAATGTGGTTTATTTGTGAAAAAAGTTTGAAAATAGACCATTCAATGACAGTGCGCCTTATATTCCAGTGCGACTAATAGTGTGGAAAATACGGTACTTTTTCATTACCCCTGTAGGGAGATTCCCCTCTGCATTTCAGCCATCCTTTCAGGAGCACAGACCTATCTACATGATCTTGTTGCTAGGTTTGGTCCGGACCTTAGCTATGGAAACCCACCCAGACACAGAGAGAACATGCAAACTCCACACAGAAAGACCGGAGCGACCTGGGGATCGAACTCGGAACCTTTTTGAGCCACCGTGACGTAGTAGGAAATATGTTTAAATACAAGTGTTTTACCGTAAGTCAGATTTGCAACGCATCAGTACTTTCAAGTTATTTGCCTGCCCATGTGTTATTAAAATGGACTGAAGCTCAGCCATCTCATATCATCACATTCAATCATTAACAAAAGAAGCGCTTATCAGAGCAGAAGCCATGATTGACAGGTCAAGAATACAATAAAAGAGGAAATCACCTTTCACTCCTTTCCTGAATGTCTGCTGGTTGTACCTGAGTCCGGACACTATGTCTTTGTTCACCTGCAGTAAAACAAATCGGACATGAATTTAAAATCTGACATGTTCAAAAAGCTTAACATATTCAGTGGTTTCCTTTACTTACTCTTTCTTTCCTTTTCTTACCTTGAAGGTGATCTTTACCCTGTACTCCACTCCTTCTTTCAAGACAATTGGATTCTTCTTAAATTTATCCAAATCTCCTGAAAAAGCAAAATACACAAGTTAACTATGACAAATGTGCTGCAGTAAGAGTCATGTCCACTAGGAGGCACACCCCCTTCAGTGACCCTGTTTCTGTAAGAGCACAGAGCTGCAGAGCCTCTTCAGGAAGCTCTTGATTAGAGCCTGCAGAGTCATCAGGACTAATTATCAGAGAGACAAAAGGCAGCAGCCCTCAGCTCACGTACACTGCTCACAAGAGGAAACATGGTCATATGGACAGTGGACAATTGTACGCAACCGTTTTCATCTTCTACTAGAACTGAATCATATTCGAATTAAACCCTAGAAAATAAGAATGTGAACTGAACTTGATGATACCAATTCATGTAATGTTTAACATTTAAAATGGAGCATTCTTATCAATAGAATGATTATATAATTAAGGTCATTAAATTAAACATTTGGCAATACTATATCTTAGGATGATCTTATTAACTATCTGCTAATTTGCATATATGAAAGTGGTTAATGTGGTGTTAAACAGCATTATTCAGCCCTTATTAAGTTATTCTTTATGGTAAATGGTCACATTTTTCTATAGCGCTTTTCCACCTTCAAGGCACTCAAAGCACTTTACAACAAGGAACCACTCACCCATTCACACACACATTCACACACCAGTGTACGCAGACACTGTGGGCAAGGTGGGTTAAGTGTCTTGCCCAAGGACACAACAGCAGCATTCATCTGTGGGAGCTGGAATCACACCAGCCAACCTGTGTGTCAGTGGATCTGACCGCTCAACTTGTGATGTTTATGTTGAGAGCGAGATTCAAACCGTCGACCTTCAGATCAGTGGGCGAATGCTTTACCAACAGAGCTACTGCTAACTTTATGCAATTGAATACTTCTGTCTTTGTTGTGCTCATTGACTCTCAGGGATACTTATATTCTTGTGTGTCGCAGTAGAAGCTCTATAATTCTACTGCATAAAGCCTTTTCGCTCCTCTCACCTTCAAGGTCAAGGAACAGTGGTTTTGGGGCTGACTCACACATCAGGGTCATCCGCGTCACCTGGACATTTGACAGATTTGGATCTGAGGGAAAAGTAAAAAGAGACAAAACCGTTAACTCTTGTATAAACAAATACTACTTTTTACACTTTATATGACTTCTATATCATTATATAATGTACTTTTCCAACACAGTTGGATCTAGGGCTCTGAAATTTTACACACATCAACAACGTAATAACTGGTGAATTTGATACCAAAAAATGTGTTTGCTGGTGGCAATATAATTCCACCTTTATTTATATAAAACAAATATTATCAGTATTTCTCTCATGTGGATCATTTACCAGTCATATGGTGAATTACAGATGCATTTGGACAAAAGATGCACTACAGGGCGGGGTTGGGCGGTGTAAATGTAATCATAATTTCATCCCTGTGACGATCTACTATTTTTGTGATCGTCACATCGCAATTCAGTGCTTCTGTTCAATTAAATTCAAGACTTTTCTCACACACTCCCCCTACTGGTCAGCCTTTGTCAGGGTCTGAATGAGTGACAGGTGAATTTAACCAATCACTGAGAAGTGTGAACTCTCATCCTCATCACTTACGTTTTAGAGACAAGTACATGAATAACAGTAAAATAATTTAGCACACAGTTATGTCACCTCACCTTCTGCCACCTCGGGAGTGCCCCCTAGCAGCGCCTCCTTGTACTTGCGCAGACTCTCGTCTTCAGCGTCCAGCTGTTGGATCTCCTGGATGCTCTTAGGGGCCGGAGGCTTGTAGTTGACCGAGGTTTCGTCCTCGTTCTCTGCTGCGATGGCTGCCAGCTGCTCTGGGGTGGGCTCCTGTTCTGCCATTGTGTAGTAGTCCTGTGGAGAGGGGAGGAGGGAGAGTCTGGAGTTAGCTTTAATTAAATCTGCTAATTAGTGATGGGAGATAAATGGCGACTGAACTGAAATTGCGATTTGAATGGGTGCAATTGTTTCGGTAATAGAATGTATTCTTACGTTTCCATAGGGTCTTATGTATAAAACCTATAATTTCATTTAGAGCTCTATGTGTTCTGAAATGCATGGGTTTCTTTGGTTATATAGTATATTTTTCAGAACTATCATGTATAATTCAATAAAAATAAAAACTATTTTGCTGTACCAATTTCTATTATAAGAGCAACACAATACAAGCAATAAATAGTACATTAAACAATAACTAAAATTATGATATAATTTTTAAAAATATTAAGCAGTAGATTTTTTAGCATTTTCACCAAATTGCAAAATAGTATTAAATTAATCAGAACTTTGCACATCAATTTCTGGAAAACAGGTGTCTTGGAGGAGAGGGAGCAGCCCAAAATACACAAACAGAGGCTATCAACACCAAAATGTTGTTTATGAGCTAATAAACTTCACATGTTTCAAGTAAGATACTGTGTGAGATTTTTCTCTGTTGCTCAAAACTTTAAAAACAGAAAATCTAGTTGTCAAAAAAAAAATGTTATTTTTCCCAAATACTTGAGTCTGAGCAGGGGAGTGACTTTTGGCCTGTGGAGAACTTTAATTAAATAGGGCTGTATCTGGAGCCTGGGTGTTGGACTCCCAAACGATTATCAGGGCAACCTCAGAAATCCTCGTGAACTTTGAACCCAGGGCTGGCTGCCCAAACTTGCGTGGGATATTCTGCTGAGGTAGAGGCTGCTACATTCTTCAGTGTGCGCAAAGACTGCTGACAACAATCCAATAATGGCTTTAATTTAGACCATTGTTTCTCCTGGTACATGTCGGGGTTAGTCTAGTTTTAGACCTGGTTTAGTCTGGGTTTAGATCTGTTGGTACTCAGAAAGCCAAATATTAACTTAGCAGACACTTTGTGCGACCGGTTTGAGACTCACAGCCTTATAGACATTCAAACAAAAAGTCTCAGATAGGGATGGGCCAATATGGATTTTTTGATACAATACTGAGATCCTGCTGCTTTGGCTGATAACTTAGATTTGCCAGTACAGATATTTCGCTTTTTAAATCTATAGCAAGACCAATCAATTTATCTTAAGTTACAGTGAAGTTCACCAATTAACTTCTCACAAGTTTTTTTACTTGAATTCTTGGGATTATGATGGAAATAATTCACACCAAAATCCTGTAAAGGTATTTTAAAAGCACAAAAGTGTCTAATCTACAATTATATAAGCCTCTCCAAAATATCATAATAAATATCGTACCGTGAGATGTATATCGCGATAATGTCGTACCGTGAGATTTGGATATCCCTAGTATATAACACTCTTCAACAGGGCTGGGTATCATTAAGAAGTTGCCGATACGATATGTACCTCAATACATAGGCCGCGATACGATACATATCTCGATACAGTGCACTTTCGATTCGATGTATTTTAATTCTGCTTCTTCTTGTACGTAGTTCATATGAAACACAAACATTTTAATCCTCAATACAGCGAAAATGTTAAATGTGCTAAGCCTGTGCAATTAATCGAATTATGACCGCGATTTCAATTTGTGTGTCAAATTATCTCCAAACTCATAATCGAGTTGAAACAATAAAGCTTAACAATGTTTATTTTTTATATAAAGTATTTTTATTTTATTTTTTAAATACAGAGATTGTAGAACAGCTGGATATATAGTTTATTTTGGATACAGTTATGTTTTTCTATGACTTATTTCATGTTCAAAATATATTTTATTCATTTTTATACATCACAAAACTGCTCTAAGGTTCATATTTGTGGCCTATATTTATTTTCAATTTGAAAGTTGTGTAAATTATCAATAACAAAGTGGTTTCTTTTTTGAGCGAGAGAGAGAAATTATTAATAAATGCATCGTGTAACTAAAAAAAGAATCATTTGAGTAATCACGATTTCAATATTGACCAAAATAATCGTGGTAATGATTTTTTCCATAATCAATCAGCTCTAAAATGTGCTGCATACAAAAGTTTCCTTCCACTGAACAAGCAACAAAACTGTGGTGCTGTAACAAAATAATTTAGTAAAATATACCAAAAAACACTATTGGCGATATATCGATACAGCAGCCCAAGATATCGATACTGTATCATCACATTAAACGATACAATATATTGAAATTTTGATATTTTTGCACACCCCTACCCACGTATCATACCGGTCGATACAAATAACTTTGGTAGACTTCAAGAGAACAAGTGCAAGTGAGCAAATTGTTTGGTTTAGTGAGGTTCTTGAAATATTATAATGTCACTATTCCTTCAAACACTTTCAAAAATATGGGGGACAAACGACAAGTGTGTGTTGAACCACAATACAAATTCATTACACAAAATCATTACAGCACGAGAACACGATGGTCAAACACAAACTACGCTGCAATAACCTGCTTCAAAACATTCTGCATCTTTATCTTCAAAGTGATGCCTTTAGCAAAACTGTGCACAGCGAACATTCCGAAATGAAGATTTGGACTTGGGTGAGTGTAGCATTTGCACAGAACACAGCTAATCCCAGTGGAGTGCAGCGGAGCCTAATCCAATCAGGCACCAACCATGAAACCACTATTTCCCTAATGCACTTACGCCACTGACCCAAACAGGACAATGACTCATGTGGGACCGAAGGAACAGGGCTGTAATAATAACACTAGAAAAATAGTATTCACTTGACGATTCATAACATAAACTTTTCATGAAAAAAATCATCATCATATAAGCAAACTGCCCTGTTGTGACATGTTCTGTGTCCCTATTCTAACATGCAAATAGTGTATTATAAACTGTCTGTGTCCAGCTGTTCTGCACGCACACAGAAAAGGGAACCAAATTATGGGCTAGTCCTTATCTGGACACAATATCAAACCTCAAACCATAGATGCTTCTAGTAATGCACCGATCTGATACTGATATCAGAAAAACTCGCTGGATCAGATATCAGCTTCCAAATAACAGCTCATGGTTAGACATGTAAATTCATGTAATAAGACAACTTAAACCGGGTATAAACTGTGCGATTTTTGGGCCTTTTTGAGCCGATTTTTCACTCATGCGGCTGTGTTGGGGAGAGTTTTTGGTTTAATCACACTAGTCATGCTTCGTGGAGTTTATTAGCCAGGCTGGTGCCACCTAGTGCCTCTGCTCAATTTAATTTCTCTCCAGCGACTAGGTCAGGAATAGGAATACACTAGATGGTTTGCAAAAACCCCGGAAGTGCGAGTTTGGGCACCAGCCAATCAGCGATGAGCCATACATTCTGTGTTTGCAACGAAGGGGAAAAGGGGAAAGACGTTATTGCCCTTCTTCCTACAGGATTTGAGAAAAGCTTAATATATCAGTTAGCCCCGTTAGCAGTGGCCTTACATACGTCACAACCAAAGAACAGCAATTGGTTAAATTTTTTTTTTTAAAGTACCCGTGTACCACGAATTCTACGCTGCGGGTCAGACAGTTTCTACGAAGTGAAACCGACTGATGAATCAGGCTAGTAGTTTACATGGGGCAACGAGAACTGATTAATACCTCATGACCGGCTCCTAATCGGCAATCGTAGGTCGCAAGAATATCAAGCCTGTTGAAATCCCGTCGCCTCTTGTGAGGGTTTCACACTGTTAAAGTCGTCCGTATAGTGTGAGAACATGAACCGCGAGCTGTAAACTTAAAAAAATTTTTTTTTTGTGATATGCTTAAACTATTTCTGTATTTAATAGAAAGGTTTTTATGTTAATGTCTAAATTACTTTTTTCTTGTCATAGAATGGGCTGAACTCACTGAGTGACCTCACTTTGGGACATCCCATTCGTTGGAGGGGGATATGAGCAACTGGGCTGGCAACTATTTCGTGTACTGAAAAACTGACAAAGGCTTTTTTCGCCAAAACGTTATTTAAAAACAAAAAAGCTTTTGGACATCAGCCGTCTGTGTGTGCTATGCATTTTTCACTTTCATCTGTGAACTTTTAAACCCTGAGATTTGGTCGTACAGTCTGAGCTGCGGTTGAGTGAAATGATCAAAAATATTGCACAGCGTACGCCTGGCATTACTGTTAACCACTGGCTCAGAAAGTTTCAGAATGTTTGACCTTTTATTTATACTACTATGTTCTGTAGTCAATTGAGAGATAAATGACACCTACATAACACATTTGGAGCAGCATACAATAAATGCTGCTGCAGTATATTACCACACTATAACAGCTAACTTGCAGGGATGCTGGATTGCCAAGGGTTGGATGCGGCCTATCCTGGACTCAAATATCCATATCTGCTCTAGTTGCTCCAATACAAATGTAATACAAAGCAATAACAACAAGATTACAAGTTCACACTGTTTAAATGTAAAAATAAAACGATTAAAATATGAATTGTCTTTGCCACCATAGTGTCAAGAAGCAAAAAAAACAGCTCTAGGCCAATAAAACGGAATTGGGATCTGATCTACACGAGACATTTTGAGGATTATGTAATGTAAAATCCAAACCTCAATCTTATCTTACATCCAAAAAAAATAAAAAAAATAAGTATCATCACAAGTTGCATCATTTCTGCTACATCCTTGTACTAGTTTCATAGAGTCAGCTACAGGTTATCACGACCAGCTGTGTGTTAGAGATGACGCTGAGCAAAAACACAGAGTAAATAAATAAAACGTCTCCTCTCGTTTGGTCTGACCAGGCGGAAAATGGCAAAATAAAACAGTGAAGAGAGCCAGACTTCACACATCTGCAGTACAAATGGCCCGTCTCTACAAACATCTGAAAAACATCGACACAAGCAGGTGGATTAGATAAGACAAGAACAATAAAAAAACACGCCACATATCGTCATAAATCTAAAAACTGTGAAATTTAAAAAATATGAAAAGACAGGATGGACTGTTT